GTGTTTCTATAGATAAAGGGCACCACCCACCTGACATGTGTCTGTATAGATGAAGGACACCACCCACCTGACATGTGTCTGTGTAGATGAAGGACACCACTCACCTGACATGTGTCTGTATAGATGTAGGACACCACCCACCTTACATGTGTCTGTATAGATGTAGGACACCACCCACCTGACATGTGTCTGTATAGATGTAGAACACCACCCACCTGACATGTGTCTGTATAGATGTAGGACACCACCCACCTGACATGTGTCTGTATAGATGTAGGACACCACCCACCTGACATGTGTCTGTATAGATGAAGGACACCACCCACCTGACATGTGTCTATATAGATGTAGGACACCACCCACCTGACATGTGTCTGTATAGATGAAGGACACCACCCACCTGACATGTGTCTATATAGATGTAGGACACCACCCACCTGACATGTGTCTGTATAGATGTAGGACACCACCCACCTGACATGTGTCTGTATAGATGTAGAACACCACCCACCTGACATGTGTCTGTATAGATGTAGAACACTACCCACCTGACATGTGTCTGTATAGATGTAGAACACCACCCTCCTGACATGTGTCTGTATAGATGTAGAACACTACCCATCTGACATGTGTCTGTATAGATGTAGGACACCACCCACCTGACATGTGTCTGTATAGATGTAGGACACCACCCACCTGACATGTGTCTGTATAGATGTAGGACACCACCCACCTGACATGTGTCTGTATAGATGAAGGACACTACCCACCTGACATGTGTCTGTATAGATGTAGGACACCACCCACCTGACATGTGTCTGTATAGATGTAGGACACCACCCACCTGACATGTGTCTGTATAGATGTAGGACACCACCCATCTGACATGTGTCTGTATAGATGTAGGACACCACCCACCTGACATGTGTCTGTATAGATGTAGGACACCACCCACCTGACATGTGTCTGTATAGATGTAGGACACCACCCACCTGACATGTGTCTGTATAGATGTAGGACACCACCCATCTGACATGTGTCTGTATAGATGTAGGACACCTCCTTCCTGACATGTGTCTGTATAGATGTAGGACACCACCCATCTGACATGTGTCTGTATAGATGTAGCACACCTCCTTCCTGACATGTGTCTGTATAGATGTAGGACACCACCCACCTGACATGTGTCTGTATAGATGTAGGACACCACCCATCTGACATGTGTCTGTATAGATGTAGGACACCACCCACCTGACATGTGTCTGTATAGATGTAGGACACCACCCACCTGACATGTGTCTGTATAGATGTAGGACACCACCCATCTGACATGTGTCTGTATAGATGAAGGACACCACCCACCTGACATGTGTCTATATAGATGTAGGACACTACCCACCAGACATGTGTCTGTATAGATGTAGGACACCACCCACCTGACATGTGTCTGTATAGATGTAGGACACCACCCACCTGACATGTGTCTGTATAGATGTAGGACACCACCCACCTGACATGTGTCTGTATAGATGTAGGACACTACCCACCTTACATGTGTCTTTATAGATGTAGGACACTACCCACCTGACATGTGTCTGTATAGATATAGGACACCACCCACCTTACATGTGTCTGTATAGATGAAGGACACCACCCACCTGACATGTGTCTGTATAGATGTAGAACACCACCCACCACCCACCTGACATGTGTCTGTATAGATGTAGGACACCACCCACCTGACATGTGTCTGTATAGATGTAGGACACTACCCACCTGACATGTGTCTGTATAGATGTAGGACACCACCCACCTGACATGTGTCTGTATAGATGTAGGACACCACCCACCTGACATGTGTCTGTATAGATGAAGGACACTACCCACCTGACATGTGTCTGTATAGATGTAGGACACCACCCACCTGACATGTGTCTGTATAGATGTAGGACACCACCCACCTGACATGTGTCTGTATAGATGTAGGACACCTCCTTCCTGACATGTGTCCGTGTAGATGTAGGACACCACCCACCTGACATGTGTCTGTATAGATGTAGGACACCTCCTTCCTGACATGTGTCCGTGTAGATGTAGGACACCACCCACCTGACATGTCTCTGTATAGATGTAGGACACCACCCACCTGACATGTGTCTGTATAGATGTAGGACACCACCCACCTGACATGTGTCTGTATAGATGTAGGACACCACCCACCTGACATGTGTCTGTATAGATGTAGGACACCACCCACCTGACATGTGTCTGTATAGATGTAGGACACTACCCACCTGACATGTGTCTGTATAGATGTAGGACACTACCCACCTTACATGTGTCTGTATAGATGTAGGACACCACCCACCTGACATGTGTCTGTATAGATGTAGAACACCACCCACCTGACATGTGTCTGTATAGATGTAGGACACCACCCACCTGACATGTGTCTGTATAGATGTAGGACACCACCCTCCTGACATGTGTCTGTATAGATGTAGGACACCACCCACCTGACATGTGTCTGTATAGATGTAGGACACCACCCTCCTGACATGTGTCTGTATAGATGTAGGACACAACCCACCTGACATGTGTCTGTGTAGATGTAGGACACCACCCACCTGACATGTGTCTGTATAGATACAGGACACCACCCACCTGACATGTGTCTGTATAGATGTAGGACACCACCCATCTGACATGTATCTGTATAGATGTAGGACACCACCCATCTGACATGTGTCTATATAGATGTAGGACACCACCCACCTTACATGTGTCTGTATAGATGTAGGACACCACCCACCTGACATGTGTCTGTATAGATACAGGACACCACCCACCTGACATGTGTCTGTATAGATGTAGGACACCACCCATCTGACATGTGTCTGTATAGATGTAGGACACTACCCACCTGACATGTGTCTGTATAGATGTAGGACACCACCCACCTGACATGTGTCTGTATAGATGTAGGACACCACCCATCTGACATGTGTCTGTGTAGATGTAGGACACTACCCACCTGACATGTGTCTGTATAGATGTAGGACACCACCCATCTGACATGTGTCTGTATAGATGTAGGACACCACCCACCTGACATGTGTCTGTATAGATGTAGGACACCACCCATCTGACATGTGTCTGTATAGATGTAGGACACCACCCACCTGACATGTGTCTGTATAGATGTAGGACACCACCCATCTGACATGTGTCTGTATAGATGTAGGACACCACCCACCTGACATGTGTCTGTATAGATGAAGGACACCACCCACCTGACATGTGTCTGTATAGATGTAGGACACCACCCACCTGACATGTGTCTGTATAGATGTAGGACACCACCCATCTGACATGTGTCTATATAGATGTAGGACACCACCCACCTGACATGTGTCTGTATAGATGTAGGACACTACCCACCTTACATGTGTCTGTATAGATGTAGGACACCACCCACCTGACATGTGTCTGTATAGATGTAGGACACCACCCACCTGACATGTGTCTGTATAGATGTAGGACATCACCCACCTGACATGTGTCTGTATAGATGTAGGACACCACCCACCTGACATGTGTATGTATAGATGTAGGACACCACCCACCTGACATGTGTCTGTATAGATGTAGGACACCACCCACCTGACATGTGTCTGTATAGATGTAGGACACCACCCACCTGACATGTGTCTGTGTAGATGTAGGACACTATCCACCTTACATGTGTCTGTATAGATGTAGGACACCACCCACCTGACATGTGTCTGTATAGATGTAGGACACCACCCATCTGACATGTGTCTGTATAGATGTAGGACACTACCCACCTGACATGTGTCTGTGTAGATGTAGGACACCACCCACCTGACATGTGTCTGTATAGATGTAGGACACCACCCACCTGACATGTGTCTGTATAGATGTAGGACACCACCCACCTGACATGTGTCTGTATAGATGTAGGACACCACCCACCTGACATGTGTCTGTATAGATGTAGGACACCACCCACCTGACATGTGTCTGTATAGATGTAGGACACCACCCACCTGACATGTGTCTGTATAGATGTAGAACACCACCCACCACCCACCTGACATGTGTCTGTATAGATGTAGGACACCACCCACCTGACATGTGTCTGTATAGATGTAGGACACCACCCACCTGACATGTGTCTGTATAGATGAAGGACACCACCCTCCTGACATGTGTCTGTATAGATGTAGGACACCACCAATCTGACATGTGTCTGTATAGATGTAGGACACTACCCACCTGACATGTGTCTGTATAGATGTAGGACACCACCCTCCTGACATGTGTCTGTGTAGATGTAGGACACCACCCACCTGACATGTGTCTGTATAGATGTAGGACACCACCCACCTGACATGTGTCTGTGTAGATGTAGAACACCACCCACCTGACATGTGTCTGTATAGATGTAGAACACCACCCACCTGACATGTGTCTGTATAGATGTAGAACACCACCCACCTGACATGTGTCTGTATAGATGTAGGACACCACCCACCTGACATGTGTCTGTATAGATGTAGGACACCACCCACCTGACATGTGTCTGTATAGATGTAGGACACCACCCACCTGACATGTGTCTGTGTAGATGTAGAACACCACCCACCTGACATGTGTCTGTATAGATGTAGGACACCACCCACCTGACATGTGTCTGTATAGATGTAGGACACTACCCACCTGACATGTGTCTGTGTAGATGTAGAACACCACCCACCTGACATGTGTCTGTGTAGATGTAGAACACCACCCACCTGACATGTGTCTGTATAGATGTAGGACACCACCCTCCTGACATGTGTCTGTGTAGATGTAGGACACCACCCACCTGACATGTGTCTTTATAGATAAAGGACACCACCCACTGACATGTGTCTGTATAGATGTAGGACACCACCCACTGACATGTGTCTGTATAGATGTAGGACACCACCCACCTGACACGTGTCTGTGTAGATGTAGGACACAATCTGGACAAAGTCTTCTGCTGACACTCCCTCCAGTGTTATGGAAGATCTGTAACCTTCAAAGGAAGGGACGATGTCCGCCTCTTTCTCAATAAGCATCACTCGGAAATACTCACTTCGACTGTAGAAAAACACCTGCAACAAACAATCAGTGGTAGCCAATTCCAAGCATAACAAATCTAGAGTTCTGTCCCTTGTCCTCGATACACATATTTCCCAAATCAACTCCCTCAGTCGTCTGAGAAAAGGTGAAATGCACACTTACTGAGTTGGAAATCAACTTAAGGCAGATGTAATTTATTTCCTGATTTTTGTTTTTTTGGCACAAAAAAGTCTGTGAAACAAAAGATAAATTGGCTTCACACCAACATGGTTTCTGACCTTGTGACACTGAAATTTGTGACCTTCCACAGCAAAGACAACATCTGAAAACAGCTCATCACCGACTGGCCGTCCACTTCCCCCCGGCATCTGTAGCACAGGACATGCAACTTTTTACACACTCCAATGCAAGGGCAAGTCAAGGAGTTGGATGAGGATGGGCATCTATATTTTGGGATATCACGCATCGACATGTACTGTATCATGGTATCACAGCTAGACATATGGTCCTCAAAGTTGTAGCAGTAAGTCAATATATCTAATGTGTTTACATTATAGCATGTTCCACCAGAGTGCTATGTACACAGTTATTGTAACTAGTTGTTGTACCAGCACTGTACTGTAGATCATTGGGAGTTATTCCCCTTTAGTTGATTAAACATGGCTATAAACCAGACATGTGCTTTTGACTCACTAGAAAGTTGAACCTCCTAAACAGAAGTTCCAGAAGTCAATAAGACCATTACAAAAGTGTGTTGGTAGTCATGTGTCATATATCCCATAAACTCAATATTTCAATCACATAATTTGAGTTATTCAATATTTTCTGTTTCATCTGAATAACATGTTAGTTTGTTTGTTGTTTGTTGCTGGGGTCGCTTCGTTCTCAAACCAAAATGGCGGCTGAGTTCGACAGCGGAACAAGAAATTCTTGACTGGATCAGCTGCGAAATGGGCAAAGGCAGCTAACATCGCAGCATTCTCAGTCTGCTCCACAGTCTCAGTCTGCTCCACATAAATTTCATCAGTTCGTCATCGGGCTTCTTCTATTACGTTCTTCATAAGGGCAAGGCAACCAAGTGGTAGTTGCGCCGCCATTTTGGAAGAGTGTGCAAGCGATACAATCTGTTGCAGACTCCGGGATGAGCGATTAAGTTGCATACTCTAAGCGATTTGTAGCTTGCAACGCGCCCCTATGCACAGTGTGATGTTTGTAAATAGCATGAAGCATGGTGCGGTGGGTAAAATGTGAATCTGTTTACTCTGATTTGATAACTTTCTTCATCAAGATGTGACAAACTCCTTGAGAGAAGGTTATGTCAGGTGAACACTGAGCACACTGACCACCCAATCACTACAAAGATGCAAAATAAAGACGTGAATGATTACCTGATAATAGAACTGTGGAGGTACAGCCGAAAAAGCCAGATTAGCAAAGTCCTCCTTCAGATCCTCGCTCAGCACTTTCCTCTGGACGTGGACCACTGATTGGTCTCCTGAAGCTGCTCAGTGAGTGAGTGAGTGAGTGAGTGAGTGAGTGAGTGAGTGAGTGAGTGAGTGAGTACACCACTTTCAGCAATATTCCAGCAATATCATGGCGGGGGACACAAGAAATGGGCTCCACACATTGTACCCATGTCAGGAATCGAACCCGGGTCCTCGGCGTGACGAGCGAACTCTTTAACCACTAGGCTACCCGACCGCCCCTGAAGTTGCTCAGAGAGTTATCCCACACATTGTAAAAACTTTACCTTTGTCATTTATTAGATTGATAACAATCATCAAATTTCACAACAGTTTCCAAAAGAAATCAGCATTGCTGGATACTGAGTTACCGTAACCAACATAATTTGTGTCCATCCCCAATCACAGTAGAACATGGTTACAACAAACACAGATATCATACCAACAGAACAGTTTACAAATGTCCTGCATGCTTTGTCTCAGAAACTAGCATTAACTTGTAAGGACCTGTTGGGTGAAATATATTGCTCCCATCTCTTGGACTAAGACCTTTATGTCAATAGATGTATTTTCTAACGTAACAAGTTGGTCAAAAGCAATCAGTGAGTGAGTGAATTGGGTTTAACGTCGCTTTGAACAATATTCCACTTATATCATGACGCGTCAGCTTAATGTGGGAGGAAAGCTCGAAGTGATGCAGGTCTTAGACTAAGACACTTTGGCAAAACCCACAAGCTGGTGCCGATAAACCGAGAAACCTAATTGTGGTTAACCTCAATCTGTGTTAACCCCCATCAGAGGTGACTACAAGAGTATCATGCAGCACACTCAGAGACTGGCGAACCTCAATCAGTGTTAACCCCCATCAGAGGTGACTACAAGAGTATCATGCAGCACACTCAGAGACTGGCGAACCTCAATCAGTGTTAACCCCCATCAGAGGTGACTACAAGAGTTTCATGCAGCCCACTCAGAGACTGGCGAACCTCAATCAGTGTCAGGTAGAAACAGCACTGAATAAATTCTATGTGTATATGTGTGCATGTGTTTGTTGTTTAATATCGTACTCCGCAATATTTTAGCTACATGATGGTGGTCTGAAAATAATCGAGTCATGGCCAGACAATCCAGTAACTGATATTGTGAGCACAATCCACACATTGGGGTACAAATACACACAATCAACCAACTCAGTAAGCCTGACCAACCGATCCTGTTGGTGACCTCTTACGACCAGCAAAGATTGCTCAGTACGAATTTTAACCCAGCAGCCTCATGGCGAAATACAAAGTACCACAATCACCGACACAACAACATTGCCACAGTATATTTTTGCAACCATTTCCATGAAGTAATTACGAAAATAACATGAATAACGAAAAACAGATTTAACGAACTAGTTTCAACAGTCCCATGGAGTGTGTTACAGCCATGTTTTACTGAACCAAGACACAAATGTTCCTAAATCAGCCTACCTTGAGCAGGTCTGTCCAGTAGATCTGACGTCTTGTTGAAGTCAAGGTGCATGAACAGCTTCCTCACTGAGCTGACATCTTCAATACTGACATCTAGCTTGCCTGAAATAAAACAGGTTGGAGAACACTGGTAATACAACGATGAACTCATCACATCCTACAGAGAAATCCAGAGATCCGATTTATTGGGGGACAATAGAACATTTGTATTTCGGTCATGCCCTTCTCATATTTGACAGTTGCTGCTGGACAGTCGTCTGTCCGGAGGTCACAAAGCTGAAAAACATTACATCAATAGTCAATGACGAAGGAAACTACCGGGCTGGCAACAAGTTCTTTCATTATTTCTTCTTTAGATTGATCTGATATGAGTTTGATGTTATCTTCCTTCTGTCTAGCTGGGCCAAGGACAGTCAGGGACTCATATTTGTTGATGTCAGTGCACTCGTCCGAGATAAAAGACGCATTCCGTAGAAGCATGTACATAGTGTCGTCTGCTTGTTGAGAAACATGTTTAACAAAATCTGTAAGGGTTCTTCAATGGGTTGGTTTCACTGAAATCACTTTGATCTAAAATCTGTGCTCCTCTTGTCTAAAACTATTGATAACTACATACATGTATAAACAAGCTTATAAACATGAATGACATACTCATATCCCCTGCCCATATGACCAGTTGTGTGGAGCGCTACCGCCATTTTCTGTCCCAGTCAAAGTCGTTGCCACGGAAACTCGAAAAATAAATTATTCTAAAATCCCAAACTATGAAAAGGCACCAGATCACCTGTTGAGTGAGTGACATGTGTGAGTGCTGGAGGTGTATCGTGTTGGCTGATGAATACAAGTATATGAAGAAGCTGTGTCTGTCTATTTAACAGACAGAGTTTGGCGATTCATATCATGTTAGGTAGTGCATCTGGTACATGAGTAGAGATATAGATAAAGTCAGGCGGCAGCAAGCAAACACACAACCTACTGGCCCCTGAACAAACCTTCCACCCCTGTTTTTATCGACTTCACAGACTACGTAGATACAAAATTTCAATCACCAGGTTGTGATTTTTCTTACATTGGTCCAGCAGTAGATGTATTTTCTCTTCAATGGTCTGACTGTATTATTTTCAGCGTCCCAATGTATAGTTCAAATATATTTAGATTTTCTTAAGGCATAAATTTAATGAGGAAATTGCAAGCATTTGTAGAATGTAGAATTCCAATCTAATACAAATAGATTATACATTATGACATAAAGAAAGAACGGATAAATTATTTTCTTATTTGAACACCAGTAATGGTAAAGGACATTACAGAAAAGATTACCTGTGTAGATATACTGGAGCACTGCCACTAGTCCTGCCACACTGAACTAGAATAAACAGAATCTCAACAAAATGTAAAAAAATATTTGGTTGTTAATTCTTGGACTGGCATTTAGAAGTGATACACTTAAGAGAGAGAATTTTTGGATGTCAACTTTGTTTCCACCTTTCTTATTTTATTACTATTGTTGGTTTTACATGTACATATATATTCTTTCTGCATCTTAGCATAAATTCACCTGATGTAGGAGAAAGCATATACTCAGAGAGGCCGTGTTCCTTTAATAAAGAAGTTGACATCCATAAATTCTCTTTCTTATACTTGGTTGTCATTTGACAAACAATTTGAAACAGATTCTGATTCCTGAGACTTCCAATATCTGAGAAGGGGATTTTAAACATTTGTTAGTTTCTGTAAATTTCTAATATTCTGAGCACAACATTGATGATAATCAGGTGAGCTACAGCTTAGAAGGACCCTCATTAAACCAGCCGAGATAAAATTTGCTACAAAAGATAATTTCAAGAAATTACATCTAAAACTTAACAAATGATCATCATTAAAATGTTCAAAATCATTAATCAAAGATGTTGTTATAAATGAATTGATGATATTTTGTGGAAATAATCAATGGCTACCTTGTATCCTAACTGAAACTTTGGTTTCCATTCTAGAAACATTACTCTGCAACAGAAACCTGCAAGTTTTAATTTAGTTTAATTGTTACAAATCCCCAAATGTTACTCATCGAAACCATTTTGTTTTTCTAAAATTACTAGCACCACCTTCACCTCCTCCGAGGCAATGGATATTTTATAAGCTCACCTGGACTTTAGTCCTGCTGAGTGAAAAACACAGATCATGAAACAAAAATTGGATCATTACGTATTTCAAGATGTTCTGGACAAAAGACGATGTGCAGTGTCATCAATTCATTCTCACAGCCTAGACCTGCTCAGCAGGGCAACCACTGCTACTGGGACAGTGGCTAAAGTGTTTGCTTGTCACACCTAAGGCCTGGGTTCGAATCCCCAAACTGGTTGTTAAGCTCATCTCTGGTATTTCCCTGTAGTGATGTCACTCACTCACTCACTCACTCACTAAAGGCTAACTTACGCTGACATCAAGCTCCAGTGTTCCGTTTGTGATGGTGGAGGATTTGAACACGTTGAGGAAGTATGCCGAGCGAGCAGACAGGATGGACCGGTGAGCCAAGAACGTGTGGTTGTCCACAATTAGTTGGATGTCATAACCAGGAACCCTTTCGTACAAGCTGCAGATGCAATAAAGACAACAGAATCATCATCACTATCATCATAATATCCAGCCTTTAAGTTCATTTGTTCATCATCATCATCATCATCATCATCATCATAGTCACTTTCAAAATTATCCACATTACTCAGGTATATTTTGATATGTTCATCTCAATGGCACGGATGGCCCAGTCATCTGAGGCACCACAATTCACTGTACAGAGTTGCATCCCGTTGGCATGCCAGAACATATGATTGTGGGTTCGAATCCCTCTCTGCCCTGTTTAATTTTCTAGGTTTGTAGCACAATATCAGTGCTCGTGGGATTCACCAAAGTGGTAAACATATGAGGCCTGCATCACTTCAGGCTTTCCTCCCACATAAAACTGAATATAAGTTGAATACTGTTCAAAGTGGTGTTAAACCAAACTCACTCACTCACTTACTTGTATGTTCCTGTCCAAGATATATGTGTTCAAGGATCATCTTGTTTTATCACGCAAACAGACTACCTTATTCGACGTAATAAGCGCCCAGGGCGCTCTCAAAATTAGAAATAGGGGGCTCTTATTAGAATATAATTTTGGTAAAAGAGTCGAAAGATCGTAAATGTTATGGTTTCTGCTGACAGCCTGAAATGATACAAAAGAAAAGTCTGTGCATATTATACACGACAGATATATTTTTCCAGAATTTAATTGCCCGTAATCAAGGGTGCATATATAGCACACGAGTGCGTATTATACACGAATAAATGTACACGAATTGTGTACATTGATCAGTCGGAAGGGTGCTAATTGGGATTGTTCACTAGCCAATATATTGGAAAATATCGCCATGGGCGCTTATTAGAGCGGGGCGCTTATTACGTCGAATACGGTAATCTAATTTCTGGCACCATAGTTTCAAATTGAACATTTTCACTCAGCAACAGAATCATATATTAACCACTGGTGTTAAATTCCTCATTGTAGTCCCAAATGTAGCTCTGAAGCACACCTGGTTCATTCCCCATCTGTATTGTTCATCTAGCATGCATCTTCCTGAGGCAAGGGAGTTTACTGGCTATAAAAAGTCCAGTTTCCACCCTTGACGAACTAGCCTGTAATTATGGTGTTACATTTTGCCTAGACTAACTAGTCTTTGCATAATCCAATCACAATCGCATACCGAAATCGACAAACAGTTCATAAGCATGGCAACTGTCCATTCGCGACCAACTCGTGTTTTTCCGGGACAAGCCTAATAGAAACTCGTGCCCCTCTCATGGCTATTTTTGCGACTATTGTATAACTTTCCAATGGAATTTTGTCTGTGGTACAAATGCATTTTGTAACTGGCACCCAATGCTTGTCGTAAAACAGATTAAACAAGTATTTGTCACAGAGTGACGAAATATCCCCCGCCATATACACCATAGTACCAAATATGAAGACAATCCAGCGATTAGTTCTTGAGATATTGTGGCAACACCGTTTTCCAACTCCAAAAACAGATTTGCCTGCTGTGACCTTGAAAATGGGGTCAAGGTCACCAAATCTGACAGGTGTATGCGGTGTCTGTATATACACTATAGTTCCAAATATGAAGACAATCCAGCGATTAGTTCTTGAGATATCGCGGCAACACCGTTTTCTAACTCCAAAAGCAGATTTGCCTGCTGTGACCTTGAAAATGGGGTCAAGGTCACCAAAACCGACTGGTGTCTGCGGTGTCTGTATATACACCATAGTTCCAAATATGAAGACAATCCAGTGTTTAGTTCTTGAGATATCGCGGCAACACCGTTTTCCAACTCCAAAAGCAGATTTGCCTGCTGTGACCTTGAAAATGGGGTCAAGGTCACCAAAACCGACTGGTGTCTGCGGTGTCTGTATATACACCATAGTTCCAAATATGAAGACAATTCAGTGTTTAGTTCTTGAGATATCGCGGCAACACCGTTTTCCAACTCTAAAAGCAGATTTGTCTGCTGTGACCTTGAAAATGGGATCAAGGTCACCAAAACCGACTGGTGTCTGCGGAGTCTGTATATACACTATAGTTCCAAATATGAAGACAATCCAGTGTTTAGTTCTTGAGATATCGCGGCAACACCGTTTTCCAACTCTAAAAGCAGATTTGTCTGCTGTGACCTTGAAAATGGGATCAAGGTCACCAAAACAGACTGGTGTCTGCGGAGTCTGTATATACACCATAGTTCCAAATATGAAGACAATCCAGTGTTTAGTTCTTGAGATATCGCGGCAACAAACAGGTGGGACGGACGGACGGACGGACGGACGGTCGTGAATACTATATCCCCCGCTTCGCACTTTCGCGCGGCGGGGGATAATTAAGGATCCAATGGACACGGCTGCGTGTACGTCATTTCTGCTGACAATGAAGTTCATACTCTCAACCACTGGTTTGCCAAACGTGATTATTAACTAAGCTGTATGATTTAGCTACAATGTTGCTGACTGTGGCATAAAACAACATGTGCTTAATGTGGCAACGTGACACTCTCCTATATAATAACTCACAACAAACATGTGCTGCTCATCAAGACTTAGAGCTTTAAACCTTTATTGACTTGTGCTGGTATATTTGATATCAAAAGACACTTGGGCCTGATTATCAATATCTCTGCTCCATAAACCAATAAGACGCAGTTATTCCAGAGAGATGGATGTATGTTTAAGTCAAAGGCCAATGTAAAGGTAAAAATGACAAATTCAATATGGACGTCATTACAGACACAATTGCTTGGTGAAAACATTAAAATTCTGGAACATTGATAGGCAGAAAAACTAATTAAAATCAGATCTTAGTTTCATTACCGGTAAACAAAGATCTGAGGACATCCCATTACAGGTCACATCAGAACAACCTTTCAAAAACTTTGATGACCAATGAAATGAATGACAAGAAGTCGACATTAGCCAATCAGAAAGCAGCTTTCTCAAGCTATATGACGTTGGTGACTTCCATTCCAGACTAAGCTTCGAAAAATATTTTCACAAAATTCTTGATTCAAAATTTGAAAACTGAACAAAAGAACATTCTGGAATGTCGAATATATGGTAGAGGTTATATGTCAGTACTTCCCACTGGCTGTGCAGTCCCTTCCGCCCAAATGCTTTTCCCATTGAAGCGAGAGATAGACAATGATTTTGACAGAAGCAGTTGTGCTGCCCGTACCGGTAACTGTCGTTTGGAATACCCCATGTTAACCTTTATGATGTTGCGTGATTAGAAAACACATTCCGACTGTCACTTTCCTGATCTGGTAAGAGAACGCTCAGATTAGTTGGATGAAAGGTCGTTCTGACGTGACCCGTAATGAGATGTCCTCAGATCTTTGTTTAGCGGTACAACATAATCTCACACCAATCTTCCATTCAAGTGAATTCACAAAAACTTACCAGTCGAGGAAATAAGAGAATTCTTTCTCATGGTGTCTGTCTTGCACGACTGAGAGACTGGTCTCGTATTGCCGCAGGACATCGCGTATTCTCTGGTTGAGGGATGATAGAAAACACCTCTGTCCATCTATACTTGATGCATCATACCGGGCCCCTGGTGTAATAACAGCACACTACAGCAAAACACTTTACAAAAACAACTAAAAAATGTAACTAGATTTATCGCTTGAGATATTTTTTTAGTCTTATCTCGAACTAGTATCTCATCAACAAAGTTTACCAAGATAAATTCTATGATTTGCTTCATTTTGTGTGAATTTGAGAGATTTTTCTACCAAAAATCTTTCAACCATCAGTGAAAAATACAGCAATGCATATATTTACTGTGTCCTGTCTTTTGTCTTCATAAAATATACTTTAAACCTGTGAACAAGATCCAGTCATATTTTCTCTCAGTCGCAGTTTTCTTTAAAAAGTAACTGCAGCTGTAGCATGAAAAACTCAAAGTGCTGCATCTTTACAGGTTGATAACTTTTCAATCAAAAGATTCAGAGTATAACTTGTTAATTATTCATTGAGCTTGTGCAGGTATTTACTGATTTCACAATTTGGCTCCAAAAGAAATGATTTCTGAGTGCACCTTTGCGTTTCAAACGGGAATAACCTTGCAACACTGTGCAGGATATGAACCACGCTTGTACTGAGACAGACCCTGTGGGGATTCTGGGGTTGACCTACCTTGCTGGAGTAAATATTCCACAACATGAATATGTCCACACAAACACGCCAGATACCTGCAACGGACAAACAAGCATCAACCAACACTAAACCTCAGTTCAACTTCACAAATACTCATCAAACTACCATTATTTGTTTATTCGTTTTTTAATGATGTACTCAGCAATATTCCAGCTATATGACGGCGGTCTGTAAATAATCGAGTCTGGACCAGACAACCCAGTGATTGTCATCATGAGCATCGATCCACGCAATTGGGATACGATGACATGCATCAATCAAGTCAGCAAGCCTGACAACTCGATCCCATTAATCGCCTCTTACAACATAAATAGTTGTTTTTTCAGCAAGCATGGGTTGCTGAAGACTTATTCTAACCTGGATCTTCATGGGTATAAAAAAGTGGGCTCTTTTTTAAATATTCCTAGATCTGATTCTTGTGGAGACACACTGTGAGTATATCGTGTGCATGTAACAAAGCTAATAATGTTCACTCACAACGGTGGGTTGCCCCATTCATCTGTGATGTTTAAATTCACGCCATCCTTATTCACCAACTTTCTGTAATGAAACACAACACACATTACAGCTTCAGTTCCATACAGAATTTCTGCCACAAAGTTCAAAGCTCCCCGCCCAAGTTAAGCTCATGCAGTTAAACTGTCCCCATGCCGATTGGCTGAATTGTGTCTCACTTGACCTAACAAACACCATTTGCATGTGAAAATGAGGTAAGTATTGGGCGTTCCTTTCAATGTGTTATGGATGCAGGTATTGTTGCTGGTTTAGTTGTACTTCAAGACCGCTGTTTGTAAATAATCCAATCTGGACTAGACAATCCAGTGATTGATATTTAAGTGATATGAGGTGGAATCCGATTGATGAATAGGATGGGCATCAAAGGGATATAACTCGTAATAGCCACTGGAGGCACTACGGTCTAACCCAGAAATTCTGGCCTAGTTCAGCAAGGGTGGAAAACTGGACTTTTACAGTCAACTCCCTTGACTCAGGAAGATGATAAATGTGAGACATAAGTAAGTAAAGATCTCTGAAGAAACACAGGTACACAAGGTAAAAAGGAAACATTGATGAATTATACAGAGTGTGGTGATACTACTGGTTTTTACATTTTTTCATGCATGTATGCAAGCAATGCAGAAATAATTGACTCATGGTGATCTCATTTGCCAGATGCATTTTTTTTTAATGCAGAATGCCTCTGGCATACTTTATGAACATATTCTGTGCTCAAAACACCGCCATTTGTGACGATAAAGCCCCTTGTAACAATAAAAATTCTACCACTTACAACACAGACAATGTGTCAAGGGAGGCTATTCATGTTAGGCTTCAAGATCAACAAAGATCGATTTAATATCTAGAGCTCTACATGACCTAAAGCAGAGACCATATATGGTATATGGTCTCTGCATAAAGTCAATAACATTATGATCATTCAGAATTATCCTTAAGAAAAAGAAACTAGATTAATGAAAGATCTTACTTTAGGTTTCCTAAGTTGCCAGTTCTGCAACACAGGAAAATATCTTTGTGTTTAGCAAAGGTTTCTCTTGTTGCATATTTTGCCATTCCGACCTTGTTCTAAGTTCCACTCAACCAAGCAAGGTGCTGATGATCTGGAAATAAAACAGAATTCCTAACTTGCTGCAGTGAAGTCTGATGTTTAATAGGCGTAGGCTTCTTATACACTATTTACTGTTATATCATCACTGCCGATGACAACATAGCAACTTTGCAGATTTAATATTCTAGGGCATAATTAAACACAAATGCTTGACCAAAATTCAATTTGGAAAACGGAAATAGCGTAAAACAACGATAAAAAAATGACAGACGAAATCGTCCTCAAAACAAACAAAAATTCTGCCAGTAGGGGGATTCCCCTTACTTGGGTTAAAACGGGTTCCCGGTGTTTGATATGCTGTGTAATTCAACGATCATATTACCGATTGTGATTATTGTTACTTTAATTATTCACATCAAGATCATTATTCATGTCAAGATAGGTCGTTTCACACATTCAACAATGTGTGAAAGGTTGTTATTTTTGTAAGATGAACAGACACAGTATAGAAACACCATATGCATAACGGCTAAGAATCACAAGATAGATAAACGCGGTAAACATATCAGCCCATGAAAACACTTGTCACCGCTGTGCTGGTAGCTTTTGTCCACGCCCCCCAAATAGGTTTGTTTGGGAAGCCGATCATGGAGCATATGATTTCAGCACTTCCACATGGACATTTAAATCCTTCTCACAAATATTATGCATTTTTCTCTCTCGGAAATTGGGTAAATGTAATTAGGAAAATTAATATTCACAACAAAATCGCAAACATTTTTTTCACTTTACCTACCCTTTAAGATGGTTGAGATAGGTATCACTGTGTATTTGTTCGTTGTTTAACGCCACACTCAGCAATACTCCGCTACAGGACAGTGATCTGAAACATCATACCATGATGAGAACATGTGTCATCCTACTAACGTACCGTTACATTAATAGAAAACTAATGGGTTTAGAGGCATGTTGTAAAATAACAGTATCACCTGGGGAGTGCCTTTAGAATACAGTACCACAAGTTCTCGTGAGGATGATCTCTGTCGTAGGTCAATTGTCACGAAGACAAGTTATCAGTTTTGTGCGAATCTGTCAGACACGAACCTTCGACCTTCAGATTATAGCCTGACAGCTAACTGATTGAGCTATTACCACAGTGTTAACCTAAGTGCAAATTTACCTAGTCATTCCTTAGATGTTATGGAAATGACCGGAAATGATCAAAGTAGTTACAGAAACTTCAAAGTTATGGGAAACCACGGTATCGCCCAACTTTAATGTACCGACACTTACGAAAGCCTTCAGGATTTCCCAGGTAACCATGGAACCACGTGACTCAGTCTATTTTTGTCTGGTTGCAAGTGTACGACCCGGGAATTCTAAGCGTCACTTTGCTCTGAATTGTAAAAGTGCAGAAACGTACAATTTACGATGACAGGATCTTTGGATAATTCGTTTGAGGATTTTGTGATAGAAAAGAAAGTGTGGTTGACGGGAGCCAGAAAAAAGAACATGGGTTATGGGTCAGTTCAAATGGGAGAGATTTGGGGAGGGCTTCACGGGTCATCACTTATGATTGGTTGCAGATTTATGTATTTGTTACAATTCGTGCTAGTTTAGCTTGATGCATGAATCATGGGTTACTCGCTGACCATGTCACTTGTGATGTGTGCAAGAGGTCGATGTATCTTGCCGAGGAAACTGGTTGGTTGGTTGGTTGGTTTGCACTCAGCAATATTCCAGCTATATGACGCCGGTCTGTAAATAATCGAGTCTTGACCAGACAATCCAGTGATTGATGTCATGAGCATCGATCCACGCAATTGGGATCGATGACATGCATAAACCAAGTCAGCGAGCCTGACCACCCGATCCCGTTAGTCGCCTAAACGACAAGAATTGTCGTGCTTTACGGCAAGCATGGGTTGCTGAAGACCTATTCTATAGCTACCCCGGATCTTCACCGGTCTCGAGGAAACTGGAAATCAGCAGAGTAGTGACAGCATACGTTGGACATGTCGTAGAACGATTGATGGAGTTAGGCATCAATGTCATTAATCAATTCAATGTCGAAACTGTTCTCAGCTTGATTGTCAAACTGAGTATCTTTTTTCTTCTTCAATGACAACTGACTGGGACAACTTTTGTCGTGAGGTTGAAATAGGGAAATTAAGTAGGTCATCCGAAGTATGACGTAAATCAGTTAACACGAACTTACATAGGTCAGCTAAGGTCAACTTTGGTTATGTCTTGACTGTAGGACCCATCACTGCCCACGCCTAAAATTGTAGCCTGTATTCAGTGTATACATCGTATCACTTCCTACTTCGCAAGCTCCTCACAGCGATATCCCGTTCACGGAGTTCTCTGTACTATGTAAACAAGAGTTAACGCGCTGGGAAGGAGCTTTGGGAGGAGCAACACAAGGGAGATTATTCATGATTGTCAAAACGGTCAGTTGTTTCGATTTTGTTCAACAACAAATGAATTCATGTTCGAGACCCCTTCATGCATGTGACAACCATTTTAATACCCATGTTCCCAATAGGTTACAACAGAAATAACAACAGCAAGGAGACATGGTAACTGAATTATGTTATTGTTTGCAGAGACCATATGATATTATATGGTCTCCTTAGTTGCCGGTGATGATACGATCATGAATATATTATCACCATTATCATATGATGATCAAGTTTGGTGCAACTAAATTTAGATTATATGAAATTGAACCCACTGTAGATTATAAATACGTTAATTAACATAACAACCATACAAAAAGTGCCTTAATTATACATCGTGTAATCAAAGAACTCTCACAGCAGTAATAAAACATATATACTTACAGTGTATATAGGTTTTGAAAACGTTTGAAATCATGGACTTCCCGATCCGTCTTTGTATATATGTGTACAATCACACCCACATTTCATATATGCCTGTAAACGGGGACGCATAAAGAGTGGTGATAGGTGTCGTGACCTCGACCAAGCCAAAGGGTCGATAAGAAGGTCGAGGTTCTATCAGAAACGAGGTTGCTGATACCTTATCACTAGGACTACATACGTGGTGAAGATACAGGTGGTAAGATACTAAATCCGTGCGTTACACGTGTGTCGTACAAGTTTGACCTCGTTTTATTCGTTTTGATTGGATAACCGTGACTTCTGTCACACCGGAACTACTTTTTTCACTAGGAAATGTATTCCGCGATACATTGACAGTGGCAATATTTGTTCCGGGTGGAACTAATTCCATGTGGAACTGATCACTGTTGACACCTACCTCAAGACGTCATCATAGATCAAACCTTAAGTTAGCCCATACTGTTGTAGTCACGATGCGGTACATGATAGTTCGGAGGGCAGAGTTAATGACAACTCCCAAACATTTGAGTATTCAATCGGTAATACCGGCAAAAGATAAGGGAACTGACGAAATGATCGTGAAGGTGTAATGACGATAACTATCTACAAAATATATTTCGAGAGTTTAGTTCATTATCTGGTATGCGCATCTGATACATGCACGACATCTTGATGCATATTGTGGATGAATCTGCGCATGGCTGCCTTTGGTATTGCCCGCCATTCCGGCAAAAGAGCTACTCTAAGCGGGACCACGTTGGAGGATGCTGGGGTTCTTTCCTACACTCCTCGGGTGATCACATCCGATAGATGCCAGCGGGGACACGCTGACTTTGTGTGCTGGCGATTAGGTGCCTCACTCTGCCAGTGGGGGTTCGAATCCTGAATGGGACTCAACCCAAAAAGGTACGAGGATGTGGACTGTACTAATAAAGTGTTATCTCAATTATCACATTTGTTATTTTAACAACTTTCGTAATGGCATTGTGTGTTCATAATAAACAAAGGGTGCGTTACAATTTGATTCAACAAACATAAAAAGTTGCATCCAATTGTATTATGCCTTCGGTGGTCTTTATAAGACTGGAGGACCCAGTAAGGCTCGCCTCTTTCACGTGTAGTCTTTTCTTTAGTTCAGGTTTCGTCATGGTGAGATGATCCTTTGATTTCTGAAGACATTGCTGGGGGAAATCTCGATCTTGGTTGATGAGATGAGATTGGTTCATGTTCACAGACATAATGTTTGTTTATTTGTTGTTATTTGTTGCCGCACGAAGCTATATGACAGCGGTCTGTAAATAATCGAGTCTGGGCCAGACAATCAGGTGACTGACCTTTGGGATACGATGACATGCATGAACCAAGTCAGCGAGCCTGACCACCCGATCCCGTTAGTCGTCTCTTATGACAAAGATAGTCGCCTTTCACGGCAAAAATGGGTTGCTGAAGACTTATTCTAAACCGGAATCTTCACGGGTCTCGGATCTTACGACAAGCATAGACGCCTTTTACGGCAAGCATGGGTTGCTGAAGATCTATTCTACCCCGGAATCTTCACGGGTCTCGCCTCTTACGACAAGCATAGACGCCTTTTACGGCAAGCATGGGTTGCTGAAGATGTATTCTACCCCGGATCTTCACGGGGCTCACAGCTATAATGAATTGTTTGATAGGCCTATCAAACACAGGCATAATGAATTGTTTGATAGGCATTACATTAAGTTGACAGAGTAGACACAATTTATGGACAACAACTGCTTTGTTTACTGAAAAGATGTTTTATGTTGTCTTTGAGCAATGTATGATCTCTGGTGGAGTCATGTCACTCAATAAGTCTGGGCTAGAACGAAACAATGGTGCTCCTGAGAAATAGTAAGTAAATTCAAGAACACAAGTCACTGTATTGGCAAATTGGTTTCCAATGTTCTTTTCAGTTTCGTATCAATCCACTCCTGTCTTTCCATGCTCACGATACTTTTTCCATTTACTTTTTTTGTACTCTCGACGTGGCAAGTGGTCCTGTGCACAGCGCACAGGCATAGGCCACAAATAAGGTGAAGTTAAGCAACGTTGATCGTTGAGAGTCCTTGGATGGGTTACCGTGTTCGGCGGCGTGGCCCCTGAGCGTTTCTAGCCCTTCGGTCCTGCCCCACACCGAAGCACATGCAGCACATGCGGTGTCTCCTTGGGCAAGTCGAAATGTGCCTCTATTCGACCAGCAGTGCATGGGTACCCGGTAGGGTTGTTGTTAACATTCTAGCGCCTGACAGGCAGCTTGGGTTGTATACTCCCTAGGAAGCTGAGAATGATGGTTGAGTGCATACTGATCCATTAACCGGGGTAATAATAGTGCAGCGCTTTGAGCATGCCCCTGTAGTGTGGATAAAGCAATACAAATAGGCTTTTCGACGCGTGAAGATTCGGGGTAGAATAGTCTTCAGCAACCCATGCAACTATGCTTGTCATAAGAGGCTACAAACGGGATTGGGTGGTCAGGCTCGCTGTCTTGGCTTGATGCATGTCATCGTATGCCAATTACGTGGATCGATGCTCATGACGTCAATCACTGGATTGTTTGGTCCAGACTCGATTATTTACAGACCACCGTCATATAGATCTAGCTGGAATATTGCTGAGTGCTGTTTTAAACAACAAACAAAACAAACAGACACACAACAAGCCCGACAGCTAAGAGCTGGATGTTCTACCAGTGTGTTCCCCTCACAGCGTCCTCCACTGAAAATGGTTTGATTAAATGCATTTACCATGTTTCATAGTTCGTCGTCATCATCTTCGCCTAAAAAACAACAACCCCAGTTATCGCCATGATTAATGAATTGCTTTAATAAAAAGGAGTTGGACATATTCTTCTGAATGAAAAACCAAACGTGTAAACTTTGAAGCTCATTTGTTTTTATTTTATGTTTTTAAAAACTGGACATCTAAATAAAAATCAAGTTTGGTTTCTTTAAAACTAAGTCTCAGCGATGTGAAAACAAATTCAATTGAAAAAAGCTGTGAAAAGTAATCAATGAATCGCTAAAAATCAGATGACAGGCTTTCGCGAAAATGGAAAGCAATATCCGACCCAAGTCGGAAGCACCCGTTACTTACACAATGTTCATTAAAAATAAGTTTGTTGAGAAAGCTATCTGAAAAAAGTCAAAATCAATAATATTGCTCTGTTCCCTTTTTCAGTAATAAAAAGGCATAATATTTTAGCACATATACGAGTTTATTTCCCACAGATATAGCCGAAGAATACCTGGACAATCATATTCACCAGAAGACCATTGGGATGAATGTCTTCATTCTCGAACGCAACTGTCATGTCCCAGATGTCGAGATACAGCACTCGGTCATAAAGATTTACCAACTCCCTTTTAAGGATATTTTCATAAGCAGGTCCCCACATACCCCCAAGGGGTGTTATTGGTTTGGCTACGGAAAATTTATGCGGACCTTTGATGGCAATTGTGACACCAGGAGATCGTTTAAGTAGGTTTTCTATGGCAAGTCTAGTTCTGTGGACACGAGCCCTGTATATGTGGATGGGGGTGAAATGGAAATGCGCATACATATGAATAAGTATAATATCTGTTGATCCAGGAGGTATGGCGTCCAAGTGAGCAAACACTGGCTGACTTATTTTGGTTTTAACCTTGCCAAACGCCATTGGAAAACCATGTGGCATCCAAAATACCGTATAATTATATTTTTCATTGCATGCCTCGAATGCTGTATTCCATTGAAACCACTTCCTTGTTCCTTGCACAATTGGTGGCCCCCTTATCAATGTGAAATTAAGGATTGGTAGCAACTCCCCAAACATTTGTCTGACGGTGGAGTCGCCAAACAATATCAGAGTTCTGTTGGTCAGACACTGGTTATACATGTCAACATGGACGCTGTTCCAACACGATAGAGGGCGCCACGTGTTATTGTAAGAGAAGCCGATAGGTGGCGTTGCCAGCCAAGTATCCCGGAAGTTCCTCCTTCCACAAGGGATGGAGGGAGAGCGTTTCTCTGCAAAGATAATAAGTTATGGCAGTGAAACTATATGAGGATATCGATATATCAGTAAAACGTTGTGCAATACTTATATAGAGAGAGGATCACATTTATTACAAAACAAGTTAATTTACTGACTGGCGATCATGTTCCCTGATTAACTATCTGTATACAATTATTGGAATATGTATATCCAATAGGATAAAATGAAACATTCATTGATCTATTAACTTTTTGGAACCAAATATGATTTTTCCCTCGATGCGTAGGTTTGTTTGTTCGTTTGTTGTTTAACGCCGCACTATTCCAGCTATATGGCGGCGGTCTGTAAATAACCGAGTATGGACCAGACAGTACAGTGATTGACAGCATGAGCATCGATCTACGCATTTGGGATACGATGACATGCATCAACCAAGTCAGCGAGTCTGACCACCCGACCCCGTTAGTCGCCTCTTAAGAAAAGCATTGTTGCCTTTTAAGGCAAGCATGGGTTGCTGAAGACCTATATTCTCTACCCGGATCTTCAGGGGTCTCGATGCGTCGGTGGGAATATCAAATTAGCTTATGATATCATATCTGAAAGTTGAAGAGACCTTCTATATTGCCACGAGCTATCTCTGGTTAAAGCAGAGTCGTACAGCTTGGGAATCATTTACCAAAGGGAAGCTACTCAAACCTCATCTTCCCAAGGCAAGCGAGTTAACTGACTTTAAAAGTCCATTTTCCACCCTTGGCGAACTAGGCTAGAATTACTGGGCTCGATCGTAGCGCCACCAGTGGCTATAACCAGTTATGTCCCCTCTAAGCCTCTCCTATGGACCAATCAGATTCCACCTCTCGTATCACTTGCGTTTGCTTCACACAAAATGGTGGCGCCCAGTCAGGACGATCTGATCGATAATCAAGATCTATATTGTGATCAAACGTGTCTTACATCGCGGAATGCATCAGATCACGTGAGCACCTTAATTAAAAACATGAAAGGATTTGGAAAATATCTGCTGACAATGAGTTGGCGGTGGACATGCTTTGCAAATCGACCGAAATCTGCACCACAGATTACGAACCGGAATTCAATTTCGGTGCGCGATTTTGATTGGACTACGCATAGACTCGTTAGTCAAACCAAAATGTAACTCCATAATACCAGCCTAGTTCGGCAAGGGTGGAAACTGGACTTTTATAGCCAGTTAACTCTCTTGCCTCGGGAAGATGCTCTAACCCTAGTCTTCAAGACGTTTGTTGAGAGTCGGTCTGTCCTGTCATAGCGTTACGAAGTTCCGAGTCAGGTGTACACACTGCGACAAAATGAAACAAGGTAACAGTTCGGACATATTTCATATTTTAAATCGGGAACAAGGCCCAAAGCAGCAGAGGTCTGCAAGGGCAGATATGGAAACTGATCCCTCTAGGCTAGTTCTCTCGATCGCTAAATTGTTTCGCAATTTATATCTGTGGAGTATTTCAAAACTGTGGCATAGTTTCAATGTAATTTACACAATTACACAAAAAGAGTATATGTACCTTTTCACTCCTGCCATGTCTTTATATTTGAATAACATTTTCTCTACAAAATAACATTAAAAAAACGGAAAAAATCATATCTTACCCTTTTGGTATATCACCTGGACAAACTGATACGGTGTACAATTGCGTAGTTACGGTGTCCACGGTGTCACCCAACTTTTCTCTTTGGTATTTGTAACCAGTGACTTTACATATAAATTATGAGAAGGTTGTCTCTAAAGGCAATGGCAAATGTATGCCCAAAAATTATATCATCAGTGACTAATTCAGTTAACTCGTACGAGGTGATATCAAAAAGTTTTGAGCCTCACACAGAAAAAGTAAAAGAATTGGATTGTTACTACTTTATATTTCAACATAGTCCCCTCCCAACTCCACACACTTTGCCACTAGTTTGCCAGTCACTGATGCCCGATCGGTAGAAGCCAACATTCTGGTCCCCTAACCCTCTGGTACCCTCCACAGCAGCAGTTAGCTCATCGTCATCTTCAAATCTCCGGCCCCGGAGGTGTTTTTTCAGCCTGGGAAAGAGGTGGAAGTCACCGGGGGCTAGGTCTGGAGAATAGGGTGGGTGAGGGAGGAGTTCGTAGCAACATTCTTGCACAGCTGTCATTGCAACACGGCTCGTGTGGACTGGTGCGTTGTACTGGTGAAGCAAAATCCCATGACGGATTTTTCCGCGGCGTTTCACCTTGATGGATTGGCGCACCTGCTTCAATAACTTGGCGTAATACTCCCCATTCATTGTGGTGCCATGGGGCAGGTAGTCGATGTGAATCACTCCTTTGCTGTCCCAGAAGATGGTCATCAAACCTTCTTGGTGGATCTGGTGGCTTTGAACGTCTTTGTCTTTGGAGAAGTGGCGTGTTTCAAATCCATCGACTACTGTTTGCTCTCTGGATCATAATGATAAACCCAGGTTTCATCACTGGTTACAATCCTAAAATGAAAATCATCTGGGTTGGCGTTGTACCGAGTTAGCAAGGCTCCACTGATGGTGACCCTTGATAGCTTCATGTCATCTGTAAGCATTCTCGGGACCCATCTGGCACACACTTTGGACATGTGGAGTTTGCCATGAATTATATTATGTATGGATCCATATGGTAGGCCTGTTGTTTCTTCTAGCTCATGGAGAGTAATACGTCGGTTTTCCATCACTAGTTTGTGTACAGGGTCAATGTTTTCAGGGCTGGTACTGGTTGATGGCCGTCCGGACCGGGCATCATCTTCTAAGCTCTCTCTGCCACGCTGAAATTCCTTCACCCACCGTTTGATAGTTGCAGTCGATGGGGAAGACTCTCCATAAACTGCAGTCAATCGCTCTTCCACCTGTTTGGCAGATTGACCCTCTAGGACAAGGAACTTTATCACCGCTCTGTACTCAGATTTGTCCATTTCTGCCAATTCACTAGGGGTAGGTCTCTCCCACGAAGTGACATGACAAAATAATTGCAGCCAGCAATATGTTTCTACATAGCATCAGTAGCTAAGACATTCATGTACATCATGTGTAGCGCATTGTACCATTCGACCAGGAATACTGTGTGAGGCTCAAAACTTTTTGATATCCCCTCGTAACTTACGCAAATCAATTAATGTGGGTATAGAAGGACTCGTTTTATTTGAACATGGTACACACCTTTCGTACAGATTTTTCACTTAGATTAATATCTAGGTTTGGCCTAAACAGCTTTTATGAGCCTTTCTATATACATGTTTTGGGATGCCATTATCACACGTTTGTGGCCCAATATTAAAATAGTGCAGATCTCTTAAGTTGCCAAAGTTTGTAAATTGCCTCAGCTACGTGCCAGTGTCAGTAAGACACTGATTTTCCAGTATCTCCTACTATTGTTTTGATAGATACTGACCGTGTCTTTTGGATGATATATATATACTTACACTGTCTGCTGGATGATATATAGATACTTATCGTGTCTGTTTGGTGATAAATAGATATTTACCCTGTGTGTTGGGTGATATATAGATACTTACCCTGTCTGTTGGGTTATATATAGATACTTACCCAGCCTGATGGATGATATATAGATACTTACCCTGTCTGTTGAGTGATATATAGATACTTACCGTGTCAGTTGGGTGACATATAGATAATTATCGTGTCTGTTTGGTGATAAATAGATACTTACCGTGTCTTTTTGATGATATATATATATACTTACACTGTCTGCTGGATGATATATAGATACTTACCCTGTCTGTTGGATGATATATAGATACTTATCGTGTCTGTTTGGTGATAAATAGATATTTACCCTGTGTGTTGGGTGATATATAGATACTTACCCTGTCTGTTGGGTTATATATAGATACTTACCCAGCCTGTTGGATGATATATAGATACTTACCCTGTCTGTTGAGTGATATATAGATACTTACCGTGTCAGTTGGGTGACATATAGATAATTATCGTGTCTGTTTGGTGATAAATAGATACTTACCGTGTCTTTTTGATGATATATATATATACTTACACTGTCTGCTGGATGATATATAGATACTTACCCTGTCTGTTGGATGATATATAGATACTTATCGTGTCTGTTTGGTGATAAATAGATATTTACCCTGTTGAGTGATAAATAGATACTTTCCGTGTCTGTTGGGTGATATATAGATACTTACCGTGTCTGTTGGGTTATATATAGGTACTTACCCTGTCTGTTTGGTGATATATAGATACTTACCCTGTCTGTTTGGCGATATATAGATACTTACCGTGTCGGTTGGATGATATATAGATACTTTCCGTGTCTGTTGGGTGATATATAGATACTTACCGTTTCTGTTGGGTAATATATAGGTACTTACCCTGTCTGTTGGGTAATATATAGATACTTACCCTGTCTGTTGGGTGATATATAGATACTTACCCTGTCTTTTGGGTGATATATAGATACTTACCGTGTCTGTTGGGTGATATATAGGTACTTACCCTGTCTGTTGGGTAATATATAGATACCTACCCTGTCTGTTGGGTGATATATAGATACTTACCCTGTCTGTTGGGTGATATATAGATACTTACCCTGTCTTTTGGGTGATATATTGATTCTGATAGAGTCCGGGATTATCTCTGTACTTGTCCTCCTGAAATCAATGATATTAACCTTTTGTCATTTATATAATGATTTTAATTGCCTTCAAACATGATAAATGAAAAGTGAATTATAAAAACGCAGGAATGCTTTTGTGCACTGAAGCTCACCTATATAATAATTCAAACACCAAGTCCGTGTGTACTAAACTGTCCTGTCTGAAGCTATGACTCTCAGGATTTTTATAAAGTTCATATGTGTAACCAAGCTTTTGAAGATGACCTGTGAACACATGCTATTGATTGACGCGACTTCGCACAATCATAATTTCGTGACACTTCGTATGCTGTCAAAAGGGTGTCATGTAAAACATATCTTGACTAGAAGTGACTGAACTAGTAATGATAAATCAAATATATGACTTAATATGAAATATATATCAACATTCGTTTCGAATCAAACTAACGTATTTTCAAGATCTTTTCCCAGCATTCTGGGAACAAACATTCTTAACATTTGAAAACACGAATAAGTTTGTGTAATACATTACAGTAGTGTGAAAAATGTTATTTTTTATATATATTATCAACCTGAAAAAATAGAAATCTAAAACAAACATGGTACACTAACTGAATTTAATATTGAAAAAAACCCACCTCAACTCAATCAATTAAACAACATCCCACAATACTAGAGGGCACAGACTCCTAAATAACCTATTTACACGTTTTGAGAAGGGCATGAGTGTACTCCTTCGGGTTGTGAAATATACATAATGATTGAGATTCACTTTCTTCCACTGAGATTGTAGCGCTTGTGTGTCCGAACTCTTTTGGTTTGAAATGACCAGGCGATTAACCTTCTCATCCAGTAGCCTCTTTCAAAACATAAGCAATGCCTGAGTTATCCAAAGCCTTAAAAGGACGAACAAAAGATAAAAACACAAGTCTGAATCTTAACCATAAAGTCAGACCTAGTAGTAACGTTTTTAATACTAAAGAGTGTTAACGCTAGGATATCCTTTTGAAAGTTTACATGTTCAGGGAAGAAGCTGTGGCGCCATTGTCCATTGTACTTCACAGCCCGCATCCTCCAGAGGCAAGGGAGTTAACTGACTATCAAAGTCCAGTTTTCACCCTTGCCGAACTGGGCTGGTATTATGGAATTATATTTTGCCTATGCATAGTCCAATCAAAAACGCGCAACGAAATCCAAATCCGGTGCAGATTTCGGTCGATTGCAGGATTTGCATGTGCACCGCCAACTCGTTGTCAACAGATATTTTCCAAATAGTTTCATGTTTTTTATCAAGGTGCTCACGAGATTTCATGCACTTTGCGATGTAAGACACGTTTTATCACAACATAGATCTTTATTATCGATCAGATCGTCTTGACTGGGCACCGCCATTTTGTTTGAAGCAAATACACGCGATACGAGAGGTGGAATCTGATTGGTCCATAGGAGAGGCTTAGAGTGAGTGTGAGTGAGTTTGGTATAACGCCGCTTTTAACAGTATTCCAGTCATATCACGGCGTGTCAGCTTAATGTGGGAGGAAAGCCCGAAGTGATGCAGGTCTCAGACGTTTACCACTTTGGTGAAACCCACGAGCACGGGTATGGTGCTGACAAACCTAGTAACATAATCGGGGCGAACCGGGATTCGAACCCACAATCATAGGTTTCTGGCTAGCCCAAGGGACGCAACTCTGCACAGCGAATGGCGGCGCCTTAGACGACTGGGCCACCCGTGCCCCCGAGAGGCTTAGACGGGATATAACTGGTAATAGCCACTGGTGGCGCTACGATCGACCCCAGTTATTCCAGTCTAGTTCGGCAAGGGTGGAAACTCGACTTTTAAAGTCAGTTAACTCCCTTGCCTCGGGAAGATGCACAGCCAATGGGGCTGTAGCTAAAATCTCAGCATACACGCTTAAGCCAATATCACGAGTGATCGACTTTAGTCTCCGCTCTTTTTCTGTCGGCCATTAAATGACCAGAGAGAGAGAGAGAGAGAGAGAGAGAGAGAGAGAGAGAGAGAGAGAGAGAGAGAGAGAGACATGGGTATGGCCGAAATGGGGGCAACACAGGTCCAAATTGCCAGAAGGTTTGGTTGTACACCATTGACAGTAGCCAGGCTGATTCAACGGTACAGGCAGACAGGGAGGACAGAGGACAGGCCTAGAACCGGACGACCCCGAGTGACAACACCACTGGAAGACGGTCAGATACGGCTCATTCACCTGCGAAACAGATTCGTAACGGCGGCGGCGACGGCAGCAACAGCGTTGGGACATCCCATTAGCCAACGTACAGTGCTACGACGACTTCGTGCTGCTGGAATCCGAACGTATCGTCCTTTCCGAGGAATGGTACTGACTGCTCAACATCGACGCCTGAGACGGCGATGGGCGAGGCAGGCTCGACGCTGGCAAGTGTGAAATTGGCGTCGAGTGCTGTTTACTGATGAAAGTCGTTTTAAATTGTTTCGAAATGACTGCAGAGAACGAGTTTATCGACGCAGAGGGGAACGTTTGGCTCCGGCGTGTATTCGAGACGTCAATCCATTCGGCGGGGTATTTGTCATGGTGTGGGGCGGTATTTGTGGAGATCAGAAGACTGATTTGGTGATTATACAGGGAAACCTGAACGCTGTGCAGTACAGAGACCAAGTGTTGCAGCCAGTTGTGCTTCCGTTCTTACAAAACCAACAGCAGGGGATATTGTTTCAACACGACAATGCCAGGCCCCATACTGCAAGACAGACTCGGAACTTTCTAAACCAGCAGAACGTTGACGTTTTGCCCTGGCCTGCCCACTCCTCCGATATGAATCTTATTGAACATATGTGGGACCATCTTGACAGACAGATTAGAGCACGCCATCAGCCTACCGTCAACAGACAAGAATTGCAGCAGGCCCCGAGAGACGAGTAGCAACGGATTCCAGTCCACGTCATCGATGAGGCGGCGTATCACAGCATGCACTGAGGCAACTGGATGTCATACACGCTATTGAAGGCAACTGTGTCGCAATGCACTTTGGTGACATTTCAAACAACTTTTGAAAATGAAATTTCTTACCTTTACCTTGAGCTCACATTACCTGTGATTGCACAATTTCATTCAAACTGTGGTTGATCAATCATTTGTTACCCCTCCCTAGATCATATTTTAATTCACAACAAAACCTCTTCTTGTTATTTTTGTATCGATCATGGAACTCGACCTATACTTTCTTTTGCCGCCCAGTTTATATAGCCTCTTGGTTGACTCGGCAAAGCTGTTCGACAATCTGAACAAAACAGCCTCACTCCACCACGGCAAACTCTGCCTTCACACACTCTCCAGCAAAGAAGGCGCCATTTTCTATTCTGCAGAGGTTCTACTGTATGGTATCTGGATACAATGTTTGGAGTTTGGGTTCGCTCATTGGTGGACACACTGCCAGTCTCTGCGGGCAGTGATATCAGGGTTGACCTGGCCAGTCTGGCGCTGTCGCTGTCGTCCAGGCACCCTGCTGCTTGGTAATGTCACCTGTGGAATTACCTGGTAAGAGCGTTCACAAAATTGTTCGTTGCAGTCGCGCTGAAACTAGTTTTTACCAAGGGTAAAAGTGCATTGTCCGGAGTTGCAAACCTGTCTATTGTAAGTCAGTTTTGTTTGTTTGTTGTTTAACACCGCACTCAGCAATATTCCAGTTATGTAACGGCTTGTATGACAGTACCGACTGTCTATCACCTTAAACATATACAGATCAAGTGGTCCATTATTGGAAGCGCGTCATGGTAAATCTGCTCACGTGAGGCACTGTCTTCATCAGCTGATAAACGTCAACATGGTCAGGTATGGGCATATACATTTATTTGATTGACTGATCTATTATACAGCTGTTTTTTTGTTTCCGCACTCAGTAATATTCCAGCAATGTGACAGCGGTCTGTAAATAATCGAGTCTGGACCAGACAATCCAGAGATTGAAATCATGAGCATCAATCCACGCAATTGGGGTCGATGACATGCATCAACCAAGTCAGCGAGCCTGACCACCCGATCCCGTTAGTCCCCTCTTACGATAAGCATGGGCTGCTGAAGACCCTTTCTAACCCGTATCTTCAAGGGTTGATGTGCTTATAACAAAAAAAAAACGATTCCAGGGAACATGTTTAGTTAATTTCATATGGAATGATGACAGTCGAACGTTTAGCAAATAGTTCGCAAATCGGAACCATTACATAAAATACGCGCAAGGTTAGAGAGTTCGCACACGAGAAGCAACAAATAAAACATGCAAACTTAAACAGCCAAGGCAACATTACAAAAGCGACAAACATATTGCCATAATGGTAAGACATGTCGGCTAAAAGCAGAGACCATTGTACGATTATGACCATATCATAAGCAATAATCACTATCATTTATGAATCACCCCAGTCACAAACATATGCAATGGCAAGTTAATTGTTCACTTGAAAAAACACGAGAACATATTGGACACACTTCGTGGCTAAATAGGCATCCACCGAGGAATGTTTAAAGCTGGTTTACAGAAGGTGTCCGGTAATAGAGACACCAGAGATATACCATGGTCTGCATGAGTGAATGAATGAGTTAATTAATACTTACTCTGCAAACCATCTCGTGTCAGGCCCAAAGGTCATATAGTTGTGAGGCAAAGAGGTTTCTGTCCAGTCATGACACCTAATCGCCTTTGTTTTTGGTTTCTCACAGTAGAATGGGACGCCAAAATAGTCGGCAGTCAGATTACAAAAGGGGCGTTTTTTCATATATCTCATATCCATATATCCTCTGGTGGCCTCAGTTGCAGTATTTGATCTGAATGTACAGGTAATTTTTTTCCCAAAATATCCATTCTGGAATGAACGATATATGTGCGTCATTCGTTCTCTGGATGAAATCATGGCAGCCCGAATTATGGCTCTTCCTGTCCACAAGGTGCGCAGAACTCCAGTATACGTTCCATTCCCGTGGTCGATAACAGTTCCGGCGGAAGCAGCGCCATGTTGGGGATCTTTCATCCACACGACTAACATGTCACCTCCACGTGCTTTTGGTCTCTTGTAGTGGTCAAATAGAACAATGTTTACTTTGACCGTTTCATTAATCTGATACGTATGTTGTACATCAGCCAAAGACATGCGCGAGAGAGATCCTAAAGCTTGGCGACTCTCGTTGTTTATGCTGCTGTCGTTAACCATACAACGATAGTCGGCATAGGATTTTAAGGCAAGTTTCGGCGTAACTTTTGTTCTCCACTGGAAAGGTTTTCTCAAGGAATATCTGTTGTATTGAAACCTGAAATACAGAATACTCGCCTGGTTTAAGTTGGTATGCCTAGGTAGTTCGGTAATTATTAACTCTATCATAACATTTTAGAATCCATGCAGTATTCTGATTTGTCCGCCAGAAAAATCAAATGTACGTTCATAGACCATGACAGTATGTCTTTTACAATGCAGGGACTTTCTGTCTTTAACGAATAACGACTTCATAATAGAGATGTATACTATAAACTAATTAAACCTGGCAATAGACGCTATATTTTCTCAAGGGATGACAGTTCAGTAATGCTTGCATGATCTCTGCGCTAGCTGATTTTTGCTGTGTCTCAGTGAAGTGGTTAAAGTAATATGTTTGGCTTGGATGTACGAAAGAAAGCATATTGGCGAATGAAGACCGATCTTAACTGATGAACCTACTAAGATATTATACTCAACCGATGTCAGATGCTTATCACTTCCGTTGCGACCAAAGAGGTCGCGTTTGGTTTTTGGTGTTAGTGGCATGAAGAAACGACAACGCCGGAGAATGACCTGAGTCTGTCTCGACCATCCGAGTTAACAGACTCCATGAGGCGTAAAGGGCAAAATACCGGTGAACATTATATTAATTAGATCACTGAAGATCAGTGATGAACACTAGGTTTTCTTACCTTCGTGTGGTAATTTACTTTGAAGTTTGTGTCGCCTGGAGCTCGCATGGCAATAGGGCGACAAGCCAGCGCTTCAAGTCACAGTCTCAGCCTGTTTTTAAATTGTGGTAAATAATAAACATGGCGGTAAGACTTTCGTTGTAGGTTTATCCCTCGGGAAATAGGCTTTGTTGTACACAGCGTGTGGCTGTGTATAAGCATACAGGATATATCTATTATATAGAATCCCTGTCTGAAGCCATGTATTAATATTCAGAAACTGTCTTCATACACACTACATAGTACAGTATGTACAAAATATCCATCGGGCACAGTTCAAGGAAGCGACCTTGGTGTCGTGGATCATATTCTCTGTGACGTCACTTTGAGCATACCTACAGACTCATTCTCTGGTTTATAACAGAGACCATATTCTCTATGTTAATAGCACTTCTAAAGGAGATTAGCGTTGTACATTCTCGGTTATTTTAAAGGAATGACAAATGTTAAATTATGGTATCGTTTGAAATGATGTATATATAATATTCATACCTATGCGCCAGTCAAAAGTATCAGTAGCTGTCTGCTCCACTGACCATAACAATATACAACCCTCCATCAATAAAAATGAAATATAGATGAAATATAGGTATTGAAACGTCGGTAAAATTACATAAGTAATTTTAAAATCTACAAAACCCTTTCTATATTCATAAAAAAACCTCAGCTGAAAGCAGTGTTGTTGTTGTTGGTTTGTTGTTTAACGCCGCACTCAGCAATATTGAAAGCACACTGTGTCTATTGCACGATTCCGACTGTATCATAAGTATGTGGTTTTGAATAACTATAAAATAATGACACCAGGTGGGCGTATCCTGACCCACCGATGGGACCCGTCACAAAGAACATGCAAAGGCAAGTTCAACTGATGAAAAATGGATATATATACTAGTAAATTAAATAGACTAAAACTTGATAAACGATAGATAAAGCACAGATAAATTATTGCTAAGATGTAGATAAAACATAAATAGAAACATACTCACCATTTACCCCTCCGTTGTGATAAATATAATGTTGCTACAACCATCACAAGAACAGAAAGAAAGAAAAAGAACTTGACTCGTGCAGTGACCATATTCAAAATGAACACAAACCAATTTCTTATTATCAAACACTTCACAAGTTTTGCAACATCCAAATGATAGAGAGCTTGTATAAAAAACGTGGCGCGCAATGCTGCATGACCTGACTCCACTGAACATCATTCTCAATGCCCAATCTATAATAATTTTAAAAAGTATTGATGTGTAATATGACCGTCGTCACTGTATATCACTACACAAAAATTCGGATTTGTCGTAGATTGCAATACATCGGACACATATGTAAATGAACAACTTCTCATTTATTCCTTACTGTTTCCCTGGGGGGAGGAGGGGAGTGGCGTAGCGTCGTGAAAATATCTCCTTTTCCTCTGTCTCGGGATGAGAGAGACAAACAAACAACCAATCTTATATTCATAAAATTATGACATATGTTCGACTACATCACATAAACTCGCCATCATAAAAATGTTTTGAAATCATTTTTTTAAAATCAATGATGAATGTTCTCTCTGGACAATCCGAGTCAGGACCAAACAAGTGATTGACATCATGAGCATCGATCCACGCAATTGGGATACGACGACATGCATCAACCAAGTCAGCGAGCCTGTCCACCCGATCCCGTTAGTCGCCTCTTACGACAAGCACAGTTGCCTTTTACGCCAAGACTGGGTTGCTGAAGACCTATTCTACCCCGGATCTTCACGGGTCTTTTAATTAAGTTAAAAATATAAACTGACGTCCAAAAGAAACTTTACTAACTGAAAATATAAATTTCAGACAAAGTATAATTTTTTTTCGATGAAGTCTATCTTAAACACTTAACCTAAATACAACAATAGTGTATGCAGAAAATGTTAATCGTCTGTTACATGTTTGCGAGATAACACGCGAAAAAGTGAAAAACACGTGCACCACGGACAACTGCAAATGCACGTGCGGGTAAGGGTATAAAACGATTGCAACGGCACGTCAGACATCCACAGTGATAAAAAAAAACACAAAAGAAATGCCACGACTCACAGTCGAACAACGTGAACGAGCCTTGGGTATGGTACAGATGGGAGCCACCCACGCCCATATTGCACGAACCTTCGGTTGCTCCCGTGTTGCCGTTACCAACTTGATGCAACGTTACAGACAGACAGGGCGGACCGCTGACAGGCCAAGAACAGGCAGACCCAGGGTGACCACGCCCCATGATGACCGGTACTTGCGTACCGTGCACCTCCGAAATCGCTTCCTGACAGTGACGTCATCGGCGACAAATGCCTTAGGTCAAAGGGTTAGCCAACAGACAGTGGCCAGGAGACTCAGGGCTCATGGAATCAGGGCTTAAGACCATACAGAGGACAGCTATTGACAGCGCAACATCATCGTCTGCGATTGAGATGGGCCCGGACTGTACGACGTTGGCAACGACGTGACTGGCAGAGGGTTGTCTTCACTGACGAAAGTCGATTCTGTATGTTTAGGGCTGATGGAAGACAACGTGTTTACCGCCGAAGGGGTGAACGAACGGCGGCGTGTTGCGTGCAGGAGGTCGTACCATATGGCGGAGGGAGTGTCATGGTGTGGGGAGGGATCTGTGGGCAGGAGAGGACACCGCTGGTCATCGTTGACGGAAACTTGACAGCTCAGCGTTACATGGATAACTTTCTTCGTCCAGTTGTCCTACCATTTCTCCAACAGCAGCCACGTGGTGTCATTTATCAGCATGACAACGCTAGAGCTCATACAGCCAGAATTGTCACTAACTTCCTCGCAGCCAACAACGTCAACGCCCTGCCGTGGCCTGCACGCTCACCCGACATGTCGCCCATAGAACACCTCTTGGACTTGATGGATCGTCTTGTTCGACAACGACCACACTCTCCAGCCAACCGGCAAGAACTGATCTTGGCCCTCTAAAGAAGAATAGCGTCAAATCCCACGTGACCTCATCAGACGACTGACTTTTTCTGTGCGTCGAAGAGTTTTTGCGTGTATTGAGGCATTTGGTGGTCACACACGCTACTAATGACTTGTTATTGAACGTGAGCGATTGTTTATGTACTCTGCCTATTGTCCATGATTCTGAAAGCTCGAGTTTTGTACCACACCCAACTTTGGGGGACTCTGACGTCATTCTCGGTCGCGGTATGATCATTTTCAGTGTTGATTATGTTGATGTATTGATCTTCTCAATACACTTTACTTCATGCATGTATGTTTTGTTGTTTTTGAGCAAGAGTGATTTCAAACTCTGGTAAAGGATCTTTTGGGCGTCAGTTTATGATGTATATCCTGATTGACTTTTCTCATATGAAACTAATTTTGATATAGTGTCTACTGTGTACGTGCTTATAAATGTCTCATATAAATAAAATAGCAATCAAACCCGCGGTTTTAGCAACACTGCAAGACAAACTGGACCTTTATTTTTTGGTAATTTGAATAGGTTTCCCTTATATATATACCCATTAAACTCCCAACATCTGCTTCGTATGCTTCCTGTCTTTACTGAAGGAACGCGGGGTCTTCATAAGGCTATTTCATCGGTGTCCTCCCAAAACTTCTACATGCCAAAACTGTGTGAGATAACAGTACATCGCAACAAGAAAGCCTTGCATGATGCGTGGCACCGACACGGCGCCAAAACCAAAGACAATGTGCGTTCCAGACCCAGAAATACTGCTTTAAAATGCCCAGTGAAAAATTGTTTCAACCAATTCGACTATATAGCGACGGTCTATGAATCAAGTTCAGCTACATAAATGCCTCTAAATGATGTTATTTTTTATTTGATGAACTAAATCATGTTTTCACATATTTGACGTTAAATGTATACACTTGGAAAACATTATATTTCAAATTGATTTAAAGCCCACATGGACTTTTCACAAACATTGCACGGCTCTCGTGCAGTATTATAAGCGGCCTGCACTTACATAAAAAAATAATTTAAAATATGTTATTATCTTATTTAAATATGTTTTTGTGGCTGAAAATTAGTTTCCTAATCAGAATCACCTCCCCTGTATGTGCCCAGAGACATTCCTGTTAACCCTGAGAGAGTTGTCGAAGAGTTTGCTGGTTTGAAGAACAGGTGCCTTGACTTCATGTGAGATGGAAGAGTGAGTGAGTGAGTATGGTTTTACGCCGCTTTTAGCACTATTCCAGCAATATCACGGCTAGGGACACCAGAAATGGGCTTCACACATTGTACCCTTGTCGGGAATCGAACCCGGGTCTTTAGCGTGACGAGCGAACGCTTTAACCACTAGGCTACCTAACCGCCCCTGAGATGGAAGAGAGACAATGGAGTATTTTCATGGGAAATTATCTTGATCTGCGTCTCGGATGATACCTCGTCAAGACTCGACCTTCTCAAGCAGAAAACTAGGGGCGCAACTAGGCTAATTTGAAGTGTAAGCAAAACCAATGTTGTTGTTGCTGGTATGTTGTTTTACGCCGCACTCAGCAATATTCCAGCTATATGACGGCGGTCTGTAAATAATCGAGTCTGGACCAGACAATCCAGTGATTGACATCATGAACAACGACCCACGCAATTCGGATCGATGACATGCATCAACCAAGTCAGCGAGCCATTTACGACAAGCATAGTCGCCTTTTACGGCAAGCATGGGTTGCTGAAGACCTATTCTACCCCAGATCTTCACGTGTCCAAAACCAATGGTACGAGGGCGGGGTGCACAATTAAGATCTATTTATTTTCTTTGGTGGTAATTTATACAGAAATAAAGGTTTTTTTCGAAATAAAAAGGGGGGGTGCGCTCTATTTTTACTCTCTCCCATATCTTCCATGTAGCAAAATCGGGCGCCAAACTAAGGAAACATATTACATAAGACAGTGATGCAATGATTGAAAATTATTGAATGGTATGTAAACGTATACGGAGAAATGAGTTACTGCTTGTCGTAAGCGGCGACAAACGGGATCAGGTGGCCAGGCTGGCTGACTTGGTTGACGCATGTCATTGTATCCCAATTGCAAGGATCGATGCTCATGATATCGCTCACTGGATTGTCTGGTTCAGACTCGATTATTTTACAGTTCGCCGTCAAATAGCTGAAATATTGCCGAGTGCGGCGTTAAATAACAAAAAAAATGTTACAGCCTGTTTATTGTTTGGTTATATTTGTTACAAGATGTGTCAATAAATAGCAGTGAATTGCATATCCTGCAATAACACCCCACACGTAAACCAATCAGGTCCCAACACTGACCACCCGTGAAGATCCGGGGTAGAATAGGTCTTCAGCAACCCATGCTTGCCGTAAAAGGCGACTATGCTTGTCGTAAGAGGCGACTAACGGGATCGGGCGGTCAGGCTCGCTGACTTGGTTGATGCATGTCATCGATCCCAATTGCGTGGATCGATGCTCATGATGTCAATCACTGGATTGTCTGGTGCAGACTCGATTATTAACAGACCGCCGTCATATACCTGGAATATTGCTGAGTGCGGCGTTAAACAACAAACTAAGCAACACTGACATATTAGAGGTAAGATAAAAGGTTTTCAACCCCTGCTATGTGGCTATAGGCCCTACATGATAACCGAGAGCGTCTGGGCCTGCCTTGTGGTTGCTGGGTCACCTTGTACGTCATAGTGCCATATATGGACCATGCAGGTGTTTCCGGGAAATATCCAATCGAGTTTCCAGAAAGTTAATAAACATATCAATGCAAAAACAGATCACTAGCTCACACAATGCTCAAAGTAAATTACAGGCAACACAAACAAATTTCAAAGAAAGCTATATCGACCGATGCATTAGATTACCTCAGTCTATTCATTGCACAAACCACGCTCTGGTACTCGGTCCTCCCTGGAGATCTATGAAACTAGGTCATAGGGAGACACGTTTACAAACAGATCTAGTTCACCACCTTGTTCGTTTAATCTTTGCCCGAAACAGCAGACATTTCCAGGAACACTTAGTCGCTCTGGAATTGGAGGGGAGCCATTGGACCATCGCGACCTGTGTTGACAGACGGTTCCTGGAATAAACGCCCGCTTTACATGATATGGAGCCTTTCGGCTTGTTTCGTCATCAGTGTTGTGACCGACTGAGTGTCAAGCGGTGTTTCTTGAAGTTGTCACAAGCAGACGGGTTGTTGATGGGGTAAGTTTTCCACTGTCGTGACACCTGTGTGTCCGCAAATGCAGTTCATATTTGGTATGACAGATATTTGCTTACTTTTGTGACATAACATTTACCTCTTGTGATCTAGAATCTAGATTGAAACTAAAAATATCCTTATGGCTGCTCATATGAGTGATAAAATGTACTCAATCTTTATGACCGTGCAAACGAACATCAATTTAACTTGACGGCAGTAGGGGTGGTGGGGTAGCCTAGTGGTTTAAGCGTTGGCCCGTCACGCCGAAGACCCGAGTTCGATTCCCCTTATGGGTACAATGTGTGAAACCCATTTCTGGACTCCTCCCCCCCCACGGACTCTTCCCACACCCACCACCCACTGATATTGCTGGAATAGTGCTACATTGGCGTAAAACCATACTCACTCACTTGATCGATGCTTGTGATGTCAATCACTGGATTTTCTGGTCCAAACTAGATTATTTACAGGCTGCCGTCATATACCTGGAATATTGTTGTATGTGGCATTAAACAACAAACAAAAAATCAGTACTGGGTGTGTGTACTATCTATGTGTTATTTAGCATTATTGGGGGTGTGTACTATCTATGTGTGTTATTTAGGAGATATACCTTCTGTGTTTTGAAATTTGATGTAATCCCACTGTAGATACCTCATATTCTAATTTTGGAACCAAGCTCTTTGTATAAATAAGAGGTTTATCTCCATTCTACCATGAAGCAAAAGCGCTTTGAAAATGATGCAACTTGTAACTAACTACACAAGACAGAAAAGTCGCTATCTTAGAACATTCCGAAATGGGCCAGAGGTAGTTATACATGTAACAATTTTAAATATTACTAAAGTTCAGCACTAAAATACCCATAGTGTTGACTAGTTCAAAATAATGGTACAAAACACAAAGTTTTTCATACAGAAGTTGAGAAAAAACCCTCCAAACTGAGTCCAAAGATATATGTTTTAATTCCATAGCAACCAAACTGTTGTGCACTGTTTGGACTCACTAGGTCATTCTTTGGAAATCAGCGAGAGAGGTCATTTCTTGGAAATTGAATATGCCATCTCGCATTGTAGAGGTGACAGTTTGTTGGAATAGTTTAAAAAAAGCTGAACGGATTTATTTCACAGGCAAACTTTATATATTAAAATGCTACAATATATTTTATATGTGTAAGTCTTAATATTAAGTCAGCAATTACCCCACATAAATAATACAACTTCAAAATAAGTACTTCTCCACCTGCCATCTGGCTGTCAAAGATTAGCCTCATATTCATGTAAGTATTTTAGAAATCACCATCACAATTCAATATTACTTTGTCAATGTAGAGTTAAAATGAGACTGGGTAGTTGTTCATGCTATCAACCACTGGTATTATGTGCCACAGGACGATAGTCTTACCGGCCACTGTTGTAAAGCAGGGGTATTGCCCTCTTGGCGCATCTTTCGTCACGATATGGCTGAAATATTGCCGATGTGACGTTAAATCTTAACTCACTCACTCACTCTTGGCGCATCTTCCCCAGGTAAGTGAGTTAGTGACTTCAAAATTCCAGTTTTCACACGTGCTGAACTAGGCTGGAAGTATGGAGTTATATTTTGGCTGGACTAACAAGTAACAAACAAGTCTATGCATAGTCCAATCAAAATATTGCCTAATGCAATCAACTTCAGGTTCCTTATCTGCCGTGCAGATTTCATTCGATTGCATTATGCAATGTGAAGTGTGACAAATCACCTGGATTAAAAACATGAAGAGATTTGGAAAATATCTGTTGACGAACGAGTCTATGCATAGTCCAATCCAAACTTCAGGTTCATAATCTGTCGTGCAGATTTCATTCGATTGTATTATGCATAGACTCGTTCGTCAACAGATGTTTTCCAAATCTTTTCATGTTTTTAATCCAGGTGATTCACAAAGTAAGGCCAGTTTAATCACAATGTAGATTTTGATTATCGATCAGATTCCCTTGAATGGGTGCCGCCATTTTGTTTTCGGTATTCACAGGAACTTGAATCGCGGTGTACTTCAATTGGTGGAGTCTACTATCGCCTACAGTCACATCATTAAGCTTGACCGAGTGAAAGACATGCTCAATGGAGAGTGACAAGTTATTAATGTGCTATTGTAATGAGTGAGATATGATGTAGGTAAAAAGAGTGGACATTTAATCAATATTTATTATTTTCTGACGCAGTGATGTGCTATTTTAATGAGTGAGACATGGTCATATCAAGTGATGTCTTGATGTGATGATTTGTAATGTTTTTCTTGTTGCAAAGTATAAATATAATTGTTATCACTTATCAAGGGGTTTTTTTCTCAGTCTCTCATAGTGGGAGAGTCCATTCATACTGAAGGTAATGGGAGCTCATTAGTGACGGCCATTGGTGCATAACATTGTTTTAATAATACTGTAGGCAAAGTGCACTGTAGGCAATAGTAGACCTAACCCTTTAATTGCTTCTTGTGATTTTACTTTATTTATGGGTTTATGGTTGAGGGGTGGTGTGAAAAACTGACCTACACTCACTGGTGTTGTGTCCAAAACCCGAACCATGTTCATTTAGGACTGATTACTGACCTTCCTTCACCTTACTCCGTGTAATGAAACATTTTTGGATATATATTTTAATTTAGATATAATTATTTATAAATAATATAAGTTATTGTGAGTCACATTCAAGATGTCTTCCCACGCTCTGAGGTTTCAGTTATTTGCCCCCGTAGTTTCATGTATATTGGCGGCAAGATAAGGGCAAGTAGGTTTATTGTGTTGGAGATGCACATTGCACAGGAACCCTGAGAACTGTCAGTGACAAACAGATGCAAGAGGGTGCAAACCATGCATGTCAATTATTTCATTACCTTTATGAATTATATTATGTGTAAAATGTATTATTTGCATCTAGTGTAGTATATCTTCATTGTAGTATATGATTGCCTATCAGTGATTGTGTCAGAACTGTCCATCAGGGGTCTGGACAAATACTGGGATTATCGCTATCATTATCATAATAGTTGAACATATCGAAATCAGTGTGTCTATGATGGCCTAGCTGAGTGTTTTTACAAGTTAAGGCAACTTTAGAGGACACCAGCGGGATCAGTTTCCATATTATTGCTTGAAGGTCTTTCCATGAATTCAAAAAGGTTGGAATTGGCTGAAACATGTCCGAAATGATACCTTGTTTTTTTTTGTCGCTGTGTACGACATCCGACTACATTTCTTAACTTCTCTTATGACTGTCTCGGTAGACTCTAAACAAACGTGACGTCTCAGAGACTAGAGTAGCCTTCCTTTGATAAAGGGCAAGTACTCTAGTGGCTGGACTGATGGATAACTGCAGAAGGCGATCACGGGCAAAGTTTAAACATTATATGCAGGCAACTGTTGCTAAAAATCAGTTTTCAGTTGCAACTATATTACATTGTCTATGTTTAACTGACTCATCACTGACCTTGTGATGTCTGTTAATGCACACATTCCTTGAAAACTGTTTAGGTACTGTCTTTAAGAGATGAAAATAGGGTTTTAATGACAGAGTTAAAGAATGATATCTTGACAAATTATGTGTAGGCAATTGTTATTTTGCCTATATCTAGTTCCGCTACTGTCTAAAAAACAAGTTTCACTTGGAACTGTATTAACTCTTGTAATTATCCAACTAATCAATCACTGACCTTGTAACGTAATATATTGGGTGAGGTGAAATGGGGTTTGACGTTGCGTCCAAGATTATTGCACTTATATAGCGACGTGCATGTACGTGTGTGTGTTTGTGTGGCTGCTTGTACTAGTCTGGACTGATGCCGATTTATAATGCTAGCTTACTGAGATACCATGCCACAGTTTAACATGAATACCCCACTCAGACACAGTATACTGACTCCAAGCCGACCAGTCCTTGTTTTAGCCCCTTAATGCCGAGCGCCAGACAGGGTAACAACAAGTACCATCTTTTAACGTCTTTTGGTATGACGTGGCCGGGGATCGAACCCCGGACCTTCCGCTCTCCAGGCGAACCCTCTACCACTAGACCACGGAGGCAGTCACATAATATATTAATGCGCACATTCCAGTAAAGTAAAACTTGCATTCTTTAGGTATTGTTTGTGAGAGATGAGAATATGTTTTCGACAATAGAACTTAAGAATGACATTGTATTATTAAGAGGCTTGCTAATTATGTCTATTCGTAACACAGGATATCTGCCTTCCCAAAACACACTTGTAGTGTTTGAAATAAAAACAGTTACCAGGCTGCCATCAGGACCCACAGACTTTAGAAGCTGCAGGCCCTGACTAAACTCTTCAGGCCCTCATTAAAAAAACTGCAGCTTATTATGACAAATAAGTCGACACATAAATTTACTGCAACCCATAAGGACAAACACAAATTTGAAACTACAGGCCCAACATAAGATCTACCTGCAATGATCCTGCTGTGACAGGTGTTCATTTCGAACATGCACACCAATGATAACACCTATTAGATATACAGTTATCTGCTCCACTCCAGTCAAAGGTAATGGTTGATAACAAGGATAACCCATATCTAGTGTTTTGTTAAGGCCATAATAAATTGATTAATAGACTTTGGCCTCACATTTAAGTGTTCCAAGGTACCAGGGATTTTCCTTGTATTCTTGACTAAGTGCCCCCTGGAAAGCAAATTAGGATAAATATTGTTATTTTGTTTAAAATTGGGATTTTTAAATATTTGATATTTTCTTAAATTCAGAGGTATTTTGAGATTGCTTTTAATGCAATAATAAAAGACAAAGCATTAAACCTGTTGCCATTAATTGGTCTTGTTATAATATGAATACAGGCTACTTCTAAAATGAAAATGGAAATGTCTTCACTATGGTTGATTGGTTAGATGGTTTGTTGTTTAACGCCACACTCAGCAATATTCCAGCTATATGATGGTGGTCTGTAAATAATCCAGTCTGGACCAGACAATCCAGTGATTAATATCATGAGCATCGATCCACGTAATTGGGATCGATGACATGCATCAACCAAGTCAGCGAGCCTGACCACCCGATCCTGTAAGTCGCCTTTTTACGACAAGCATAGTCACCTTTTATGACAAGCATGGGTTGCTGAAGACCTATTCTACCCCAGAATCTTCACGGGTCGTCTTCACTATGAATATATCAAAGCAGGAAAAGCTAGTTGTAGACAGTTGGTAGTTGCAGCAACTTAATTTCAACACAGTTTGTGATTTTTGACTGACGAAAGCGCCGGGGATCATTAGACAAGCAGTAATGTATTTTTGCAAGTGTATTGTCTTGTATTGATACAGAAAAAAATGTATTGTGTATCATATTGGCGCATGAAAACTCACGATGCAGCGGCTCACCGATGTATTGTTTCACCTCTATACTTTATGTGATTAAATATGTTATATACATAGTCTTTTGGACATGCTTTCCCTTTTTAACACCTGGTGTCAACACTGATTAACTGTTCGATCCGATAGGTATCACGATACCTTACTCACGATCCGCAATGTGATTGCATCTGCTCTTATCTGTGGTGCGTAAGCCATCTTTTTCATAGACAGGATGGCCAAATACCTGGCACACTGATGATTTACAGTTTGCAGTGTGGAGTATGGCACAACAAATGAAAATATGTATGTTTTCACTATTAACTTGCACTACTGATTAGTGTTTAGTTGGGGGGCGGTCGGGTAGCCTGGTGGTTAAAGCATTCGCTCGTCACGGCGAAGACTCGGGTTCGATTCCCGACATGGGTACAATGTGTGAAGCCCATTTCTGGTGTCCCCCGCCGTGATATTGCTGGAATATTGCTAAAAGCGGCGTAAAACCATACTCACTCACTAGTGTTTAGTGGAACAGTTATTAAAGCAAACATTCAAGGTCAGAATCGGGTTTTTTTACTTGGTGTGCGACTGTGATGGATACTTGTATCGAGAAGTAAAAAATCGTGATGCATCAGTGTATTGTCCCACCACTAGTCATGGTACCGTGACATTGTATCATTAAACATGTAACCAATCCCGGTTTGTCTGGTGCAGACTCGTTGTTTACAGAAAGTCATATGGATGGACTAATTCAGCATTCTGACAACAAACAAACAATGAAGTAATCCTAAAACACACTTCTTCAAGATCATATATGAAAGTCAGTGTTTCAGATTTCAGTAAAGTTGGTTGGTTTTAATGTTTAACGCCACACTCGAGCAGTTCCAAGAAGTTAATGTTATATTCATGAATTCCTGGAAAACACACTGTTTTAAAAGTGCTCAATGGATTATTTAGGACTGTAGGAGCCCCAGAGACCAAGTAGCTTGAATTTCCCCCTTTGTTGTTGGGATACGGTTTCACTGCAAGAGGTATACAATGTACACAGTTATATGCGTGGGCATTGTGAGATAACACTGTGTAGCGACAGTCGTTTCGTTGCTGGGGTTTCTTGTCCTGCCTGGGTCACAGTGAACGAACAGACTCAAAGGTGTTTTGATTGATACTTGAACTTTATATAGGCACCAAAATGTTACATTGCCTCACATACAGTTACGTAAAACACCGTACGACCCCATTAAGGAGTTGCACATTTATCGCACACATATTGCATCGCACATTGATCAACTTCGCAGCTGATTTCGCACCATTACCCCTGCAGAAGGGAGATAACTCCACAATTTGACAATGAACGCATACCACAAAAAAATATTATGCTGGCAGTTACACACTGTCTTGGAATTTCACATTGTCAACATGTACAAACCTGTTTATAAAACAAGTTGTTATTTTCTTTGAAGGCACAGGCTGAGACTTCTTAATAAACAATGTAACCATTTGCATATTCAGTGTGTTTGTGTTTGTTTTTTCCTTGGTTTTGTTTTATTTAAATAATTTTAAGTTTAAAATGAATTTGTTCCAGAATACCAGGGATAATATTGGGTGTACATTTGACAAATGAAAACATTGTTACGTGTTGGATGTTCTACAAAATATTGTTGTTGATCAAACGACAAATTGTTTATCGTCTGTTTTTCAGAGAAAGAAGATTGCATTCTTGAAGAAGTGCAGGAAAGCTAATCTCCAACAAACATCCAAGCATCTGACTGGACAAAAAGGAGCCTGACACATCCACAATGTAAGTACTGCAGTATCTCCTTGCATACACCTGATCAATGTAAGATGAGACCACTACAGGCCAACGGGTTACCTTATCACTATTCCGAGATGCAGCAGGCAACATGCAGATGATAATAATTTGGGGTCAATTTTTTTAAAACAAATTGTGAATAAAAGTTACAAGAAAATATATACAAAAATAAGTTAAAATACCCTATTCCCCATAATATGCACCAATCAGAACATTGACAAAGGGAGGCACTATTTAAACCATATTCCCAGTAATATGCACCCCGGCTGATCAGAATATTGACAAAGGGAGGCACTATTTAAACCATAATCCCAGTAATATGCACCCCGGCTGATCAGAACATTGACAAAGGGAGGCACTATTTAAACCATATTCCCAGTAATATGCAACCCGGTTGATCAGAACATTGACAAAGGGAGGCACTATTTAAACCATAATCCCAGTAATATGCACCCCGGCTGATCAGAACATTGACAAAGGGAGGCACTATTTAAACCATATTCCCAGTAATATGCAACCCGGTTGATCAGAACATTGACAAAGGGAGGCACTATTTAAACCATATTCCCAGTAATATGCACCCTGGCTGATCAGAACATTGACAAAGGGAAGCACTATTTATACCATATTCCCAGTAATATGCACCCCGGCTGATCAGAACATTGACAAAGGGATGCACTATTTAAACCATAATCCCAGTAATATGCACCCCGGCTGATCAGAACATTGACAAAGGGAGGCACTATTTATACCATAGTCCCAGTAATATGCACCCCGGCTGATCAGAACATTGACAAAGGGAGGCACTATTTAAACCATAGTCCCAGTAATATGCACCCCGGCTGATCAGAACATTGACAAAGGGAAGCACTATTTATACCAATTTCCAGTAATATGCACCCCGGCTGATCAGAACATTGACAAAGGGAGGCACTATTTAAACCATAATCCCAGTAATATGCACCCCGGCTGATCAGAACATTGACAAAGGGAGGCACTATTTAAACCATATTCCCAGTAATATGCACCCGGCTGATCAGAGCATTGACAAAGGGAGGCACTATTTAAACCATAATCCCAGTTATATGCACCCTGACTGATCAGAACATTGACAAAGGGAGGCACTATTTAAACCATAATCCCAGTTATATGCACCCTGACTCATCAGAACATTGACAAAGGGAGGCACTATTTAAACCATAATCCCAGTTATATGCACCCCGGCTGATCAGAACAATGACAAAGGAAGGCACTATTTATACCATATTTAATTTGTTTTCCTAGATACAATCTTAGTTCAAAGGTCAATGAAACAAAACTTTATTTATGATAGTTATGATGCAATACTAAATTTTTAACCCCTTCTGCACTGGTGTTTTCTGTGAAAAAAGTCTTAAATTTTGTAACGAGGTCAATTCATTTGTTTGATAGGCATTTGTTTGAAGTTGAGGGATGTCTTAGTATCAGATCCTTATAACAAAACGTCACTATTACAGTTTAATAGTGAGTGAGTGAGTGTATTTGGGTTTATACCACTTTTAGCAAAATCATGGCATGGACATCAGAAATGGGCATCACACGTACCCATGTGGGAATCGAACCCAGGCCTTCAGCGTGACAAGCGAACGCTTTAACCACTAGGCTACCCAACCACCCCAACAGTATAATAAAGAAGTTGTTGTCCATAGGTCGTGTCTACCTAAAGCTGTTTTCCGATTTGAAATACAAGTTTAAACAAGAATTGGTACAGAATTAAATCATCATATTAAATCAATGAATGAATACCACACAAAGGAATTAAGCTTTACAATCCTGAAAGACTGTTTGATGGGTACAGTATGTCGCAGCAGTAAGTATCGAGCCATATCAGATAAATCAGCCACTCAGCATTGTGAGTCAAATCACTGTTGCATGTGGCCTTTGCTCCATTCTTGAAGTGTTGGAAGTTGGCAGGTAAACCCTATTCTCAGACAGGTATCCATGTCCATCCACACCATGCAAGTAGAAGAGATGCACATCAGGGCCCACTTGCACATAGCGATCTTAGCACTAAGATGATCGTAACACTCATACTTTAACATAGGCTTACCATAGTCTAAGCGCTAAGATTGATTTGTGCAAGTGGCCCAGGTCAAAGAAGGCCTCGAATCGCCCTTGTCTGTCTGTTATATAGGCACATAGCATTCGATTAAAACTGGTGCGGATGTATGTATGTGGGCATTGATAAAACACTCAATATCTGATACATATGACATAATATTTTGTATAAAGTGGATACCTGCCACACTCACCACATGCAACAGCGTTTCGCAAAGAAAAGCTTATATCTAAAACATATTTACAAAATTGTACAATTTCTATATTTTCTCTTTTAGTATATCCCAAAGCTCTCTACCATGTATCAATATCGGTGTTATTTTGTGCCAAATATTTGAGAGGCATTATTAACAGATATATTGTATTTATCATATAATGGGTAGGTTTCTCGGCAGGATAAAGCCAACGGATAAAAACGATATCCGTTGGGGTCATATGCGGATAGAGATGCAAATATCAAAGGTCAAGTAGGGACTACTTTCAGTGTTTATAAACAAACATGGCGTCGCACTTGTCATTCAGCGATCGAGTCAGAATTAACCATCGGGAATCTGGATAAACTCAAAGATGATTGCTATCATTATGAAAAGAACAGTCTAATATACTTAAAATCAGTGTCTAACTGTGACGTCGCTAAGGCATTTTATAAGTTTTAGAAACTTTGGAGATATAAATTTCGAAACAATTTTGCGAGGGCACTAGGCCTAGCCAAGCGGGATCAGAAGCCATATCTGTGCTTGTAGACCTCTGCGGCTTGAAACATTTTCCACCAATAAAAATAGTTGGGTTTAGGCGAAATATGTATGAATTGTTACCTTGTTTCGTTTTGGCGCTGTGTATACATCTGACTACACTTCTTAACGTTATGACAGAACAGGCCGACTGTGAACAATCACTGGCCGTGATGTCTCATAGACTAGGGTTAGAGTAGCTCCCCTTTGACAAAGGGCAGTTACTCTAGCGGACAGACCGATGGATTGTCGCGAAAGGCAAGTAAAAACAATTGTTGTTTTGCGTATATGTTGCTTCGCCACTGTATAAGAAACAGATTTCAGTTTGAACTATATTGGCTACTGTCACTGTCCGACTGACACATCACCTACCCTGTGATGTAATAAATATTAATGCGCGCATTCCAGGAAAATTTGCAATGTTAAGGCAATGTTTGTGAGTGAGGGGAAGCGATTTTCAAGCACAGATTTGAAGAATGACATTATATGATAAAGAGGTTATCACGCTTGTGTGTTTAGGGATGGTAAATATCCTGTATTAGGAATAAACACTATGTATTTAGCTCGCCAAGGCTCACTAAATACAATGTTTATTCCTAATGCAGGATATTTACCATCCCCAAACACACTCGTGTGATAACCTCTATTTACGCACAAGCATTTTGATGGTATATAGTGCTTTACTTGCCTGTTCTGCAAGAGTATTACAAGCTGTAGTCCAAATTAGCTTAGGAGTTAACATTAGACCCAGATTTTTACAGGGGCTAATGGTCTTAAGTGGTACATTTTTCTATGTCAATCTTTCGTATCTAGATAGTCTGCCAGATACAAATTATGTCACTTCCTGCTTACCATAATATACAACTGTTGATAGCCATGATAGGTTAAAAAACGTCATTCTGTCAACATTGTAGTTTCATTCATGGTATATCAGTCTGTAAAATTGTTAATGTTCATGAGCTCTCATGATGTGCAGTATCCGGCATTGCCGTTGAAGGTGATATTTATAAAGTTATCTGTTGTGAACCCCACAGCATATATGAACTAAAACATTCACCCCCATTCCACTCTCATCCCTTCTCAGCTCCAGGAGCCAGTTCAGAATAGGTCTTCAGCAACCAATGCTTGCCAGAAGAAGCAACTATGCTTGTCGTAAGAGGCAACTAACAGAACCGCCTGGTCAGGCTCGCTGACTTGGTTGACGCATGTCATCATATACGAATTTCATAGATCAATGCTCATGATGTCCATCACTGGATTGTCTTGTCCAGACTTGATAATTTACAGACCATCATCATATAGCTGGAATATTGCTGAGTGCGGCTTTAAACAACAAACAAACAAAGAAAACAAATCAAGAATCCAATACCCCTACTCTTCAGCTCCGGAATTTAAGAGATTTGAGGGTTCCTATATATACCGTATTCGATGTAATAAGCGCCCCGCTCTAATAAGCGCCCACTGCAATATTTTCTAATATATTTGCTAGCGTACAATCCCAATTAGCCACCCTTCCGATTGATCAATGTACACAGGACTGATTTGTTCGTGTATAATACGCATTTTATATGCATTCATAATTATGGGAAATTAAATTCTGGAAAAAATATATCTGTCGTATATAAACATTTCAGGCTGTTAGCATAAACCGCAAAATTTACGATCTTTCAACTCTGTTGTTTTTCACCAAAATAATATTCTAATAAGAGCCCCCTTTTCTAACTTTGAGAGCACCCTGGGCGCTTATTATGTCGAATACGGTAATTATTTATATTTAACCTCATAGATACCATTATTTGGGGTACTACTTGTTAGTCTATAAATATTTTTTATGTTAATTTTTTTTCTTTTGTTATTCCAAGAGTGTCATATGTTAACAATATGAGGTGTGACCAGGGGTGTTTTATCTTCTCCAGGTCAGACGCTGTGGAAGTCATGCCCCTGGGGGAAGATGGTTCTGATGATGAACAGATGGAAAGAAGGAATGCAGGCCCACCTGTAAATCCTGAAGGTATTATTGTAGTTTATAGCTAAAATGGATAGAATTATCATTAAAACGCCCGCATGTTATCAGAAATGAGCGGGCCACTGTAATTTGATAATGCCCTCATATTGCTTGACGATGGGCCATTATCAAGCCCGTTGTTAGGTGACGTCATAGGGTAGAGAAAATCACGTCGCGTATTATAGTGACGTCATCTGGTTTGTTCTATGACGTTTCCATATTTGTAAAATGTGGTCAGTGACATTCGTGTTGATTGCAGTAAATGTTTCAAAAGCCATGTTGTTGTTTCTTTTTATTTGATAACAAATTCCATCCATTTTAGCTATAATAACGGTAACGCTCTTTTTCAGGGCATTATCATTTGCAGAAGCTCTCGGTCTTTTCAACTGCCCTCCTTCATCGGGCAGTTAATGGAAGACCTTGGGCTTCTGCAAATGATAATGCCCTGAAAAATAGCGTTACCCTTATATTATTCCACACCCCTGGGGATACTGTAGGGATCCGAGTTGCGATAGGTCCCAGGGATCTGTGCACCTGAATGTATCGGATTACTATCATCATACCCTGATGGAGTGAACCCTTGCTCAGAATATCAGTCATTGGATTGTATGGCCCAGATATGATTATTTACATGCTGCCGCCATATAGCTGGAGTACAATCTCATTAAAATCAGATCTTACTTCTCGCTATCGCAAAAAAAAAGATCTGAGGATATCCCATTACGGGTCATGTCAGAACGACCTTTGATCCGACCAATCAAAGCGTTGCTTACCAGATCAGACAGTCAGAATGTGTTTTCTAATTATGCAACCTCGAAAATATTAACACGGGGTATTCCAAACGAAAGTTACGGCCCGTACGACTGATTCTGTCAAAATTATCGTCTATCTCTCGCTTCCGTGGGATAAATATTTGAACGGAGGAGGCATTGCACAGTACGTAGGAAGCACTGCCATACCATATATCGCAATCGCAACCATATATTAGACATTCCAGAATGTTCGTTTATTCAGTTTTAAAGAAAATTAATTGAGAACTGTGTCAACATATTTTTCAAGCGTTGTCTGAAATAGAAGTCGCCAGGTTGAAACGTGTGCTGTAAAGCTCGTGAAAGCTGCTTTCTGATTGGCTGATGTCGACTTCTTTGTTAGTCGTTTCAGTGGTCGGTCAAAGTTCACGAAAGGTCATTCTGACGTGACCCGTAATGGGATGTCCTCAGATCTTTGTTTAGTGGCAGCAAGAACTTAGATCTGATTTTAATGAGATTAGCTGAATTAGGACATAAAAATCCAAAGACACAACCAACATGGTCCCTAAGTCATGCCATAATTCACTTGTCATGGGTTTGAATCCCAGATTAGGCTCAATTAGGTTTCTTGGATTTGTCAGCACCGTATCCATCTTTCTGTAAGGTAAACACCTCACTCTCTTGCTGATTATGTCCCTTTAATAAATAATTCAATATCACATCAATTCATGTTTTATTCCATCTCAACGTGGGCAATAAGGAAAAGAAACAAAGGTGACCCACTCAGTATCAGTCCGTAGTCAAATCAGTCACCCCTGAAGTTCACCGTCGTTTGTTCCTACAAGAAAAACATTATATACATACTCAGAGCTCAAATTGAGTTTTTACTCCAGGGTTTCTATTTTAATTGGGTTATTACATTTTTCATTGGGTAACCAATATATTTTCACTCATCAATTCATCACTCTATTGGGTTTTTCCCCCAAAGAGTGAACATTTTAAGATTTAAAAAAAATGAAATAATATTTTAGATGTACATATCCATGATAACTGTTCTAAATATATACTTGACTCGGAAAGTAAATTAGCTCGTATTTGTATTTAAAAGATAAGCTCCTTTGTACACATGCTGAAAAAGCTTCTTTGGGTATTTACGCGTGCTGTTTTATACATTTGAGTTTTTCATTTAATACGCAAGTTAATTGAAAGTAATTGGGTTTTGAATATTGGGGGGTTGAGGAGTGGTGTTACACAAATACGCTGCCTTATCTGTAGCTCTACATACTCCTACCAAACAAGCTTCACTTGAATCACATCCATCAACAGTTAATGTACAGCGATGTCTTGAACAGTTTGTTTAAAAAAAAATATATATGCTTGCCACCTTTTTACAAAATTTGGATGACACTTGATGACACACACACACACATATACACATACATATACATATACATATACATATATATACCGTATTTGACGTAATAAGCGCCAAGGGCGCTCTCAGAATTTCGTTGTTTATGCTGACAGCCTGAAATGTTTATGTACGACAAATATATTTTTCCAGAATTAAATTCCCCATAATTGAGAGTGCATATCACACACAAGTGTGTATTATACGCGAATAAATAAGTCTTGTATACATTGATCAATTGGAAAGGGTGCTAATTGGGATTGTTCACTAGCCAATATATTAGCAACTATTCCCGTGGGCGCTTATCAGAGCGGGGGCGCTTATTACGTCGAATACGGTATATATATAAGATGTTGATTGTAATTATTGACACATTTCCAACCAAAATCTCAAATACATTTGCCAGGATATGGTTTCTGGTTGGAAGAAATCTGTCCTCAAGTTACCTGTATCATATACATTGCTGTCAGTTACTGTCAACCTGTCTCCTTGTTTACAGATATTGCTCTGGAAGCAGCTATGATCAGGTATGTCTTTTATAGCCAATGTTGTAGCAGTTGTTAGAGGATTTGCCTTTTGACTGTTTATTAAATGCACGTTTTGATTTGCAGTCTGATGATGAAAATACTAAAAACACTGATTGATTTTAATATGTGTCATGGCAGTTAAATGAAGCGTTACAGACATTCAATGTTGTCTCTCTATTAAGATATATTTTTGCCCATTGTTGTCTATGTATGTAGTTTTATCCGACCTTACAGCAATAATTCTGTTTCAGGGACATGCAGTTAGCAACATTAGAGAACATGAAACCCGATCACATTGGTAGGTTCATATGGTGCACTTGTTCAACATTTTTTGGGTCGGGTAGCCTAGTGGTTAAAGCATTCGCTCGTAAAAAAATAATCACTCAATTTAAAAAATAGACGAAATAAATCAATTTTGAACTGTTTCAATGATTTATGTTTCCATTGTAGATAATTCATGCATAAAACATTAACGGATCATTAACTAGGACATTTCTGCTGTTTTACTTGACTTTTTTTATATGCAGTTTCTTCTTTTCAGCTTTATTCCAAAGCAACAAAAAGGACTTCAATGTAGTGAATTCTCCTGGTACAATACTTTCTGGAAAAGTAATCATTAACCAGCAAGGTAAGTGATGAATTAAGATGTTGCAGTTGATACAGATGTTCACACACCCCTGTAGTTTGGATAAATCCCCCATACAGTTTACAGTAATTGTGATAAATGTTGACACCATCCTACCCCTATCTTTCATGGTCATTATTCATTTTCTCATGACCCCCCTTAATCCTACGCACCACATGACCAAAGAGGTTAACCCCATCAGCAAGCTGACAAGGTAAGGATGTCATCTGTGGGATGACTCCACGCCCTGCTACACAATCATGTTATGAACAATGCAGCACTGTGATGTATTATGGCTTCAATTGGCCAATCAGCATTGAGAACTGCTAAAATGTGAATGTTCAAGTATCAGAAAGTAATTACACGATCATTCTATACTCATGAATAAGATTGATATGATTTTTTTATCTTTTCAGTTGCTCCTACGGGGATTACACAATTCGAGAAGATGAAAGGTATGCTGGGACTAGGGATGGGCGGTTTTATCGGTATACCCGTATATTGCAATACAAATTCATCACGATACGTATCACAGTTTTTCCCTCATTATTCAAACTGTGACTGAAATGTATATGCCATGATGTATAGTCTTACCTTATTAAATCAAAACAAATGTTTCACACTCTTTATTTGATTGTAGATAAAAATAATAGTACAATATATTAAGATTGGTTCATAATTTTGACCAAATTGTTAACCTTGCAGCTTTCATATTAATATTTGTCAAAGGGATATGAAAAAAGCTTTTCTCTTGCTAGAAATTATTTCCCAATATATTGCAAAATATTGCAATATGTTTTTGAAATATTGCAATATATCACAATACACTTTTTGGTCCAATTCCCAACCCTAGTTGGGACTAAATCTCAAGAGTGTTGAGAGTGTTGCCACTGTTGCAGACATACAGCGACCAGAACAAGTATTAACATGCCATGGCTGTAGAGCTTTATATGATCGGGTTTTTTTGTAAATGTATTGCATAAACATATTTTTGTTAAAAAATAATTTGTTCAATTCACCTGAACTGAAGGTTTCCGTTTGCTTATGTCAGGGTGCCATTGTACAGAGCATTCTTAGTGCTAAGGTGATCATAACTCCCATACCTTAACATAGACTTACAATGGTCGTAGTGCTAAGGTTGTTTTTTACTCAACTTGCTAGAGTGAGTAAGTGTGTAACACTAGGTATGGGCTACAAATAGTGTATTTCATGTCGGAAAATTGATCAAATTATGCTACTTTAAAGAAGTTACAGACCATCCAATTCTTTCATATTACTATAGTTAACCATGGCATGACAGATTAACTATCGGGTCTTTTAGAAACATACTTATCCCTTGATTAGCATGTGCAAAGCGGCAGATGTTTAGGCGATTATAACTTACAGCGCGTACACGTTCCAGTCGCTTCATACAATTGCTTGTTGTCACAGATAGTGAGTGAGTGAGTTGGGTTTACCGCCGCTTTTAACAGTAGCCCAGTTATATCACTGTGTCAGCTTGATGTGGGGGAAGCCCGAAGTGATGCAGGTCTCAGACGTTTACCACTTTGGTCAAACCCCCGAGCACGGATATGGTGCTGACAAACCTAGAAACATAATGGGGGCGAACCAGGATTCGAACCCACAGTCATAGGTTTCTGGCGTTCCCAAGGGATGCAACTCTGCACAGCGAATCGCGGAGCCTTAGACGACTGGGCCACCTGTGCCCCTTGTCACACACAGGGTTCTAATTCAAGCATAGTTAACGTTCACTGAGGTTTCTACATGCCATCTTCTTATCCTGAATATTTTACAAATACCGATATACAATTTCAAATGAAACATGTGTTACAACGTTGCCCAAACCATCTATCATATGCTATGTTGTTGTCATGCATTGATGTATCATTGATGGAAATGTATATGTAGTGCCTTATGGATTTGGTGAATTTTATCAACATATTTTAAGCAGATATTTATAACTTTCATGTGAAGAAAGGTATTGATAGTGTCTGGTAGTGAACTTTATTCTTATAACAATATGCTACACATGATTTCAAAACTTTACACGCTAGTCCTGCACAAGACAAATGGTACATATCGAGTCATGGATCTATGATCACATGTGATGCGTTCATGAGCGGCGGTTCACACAACATAACAGTATGTTCGTTTGTGCATCGAACCAATCTAATATCTCTTGAATATGAGTAATTCTTCATATATTTAACCAACGTGTATGATTTCTTTGTCGAGTTTATAAATAATTTATTTTACAGTTTTATTTACAATTTCACAAGCTATAATACCATGTTTATGATAACATAAATATTAAAACCCATCATCACTTGTGAAGTTCACTAAACTGTCACCAGCTGGAACTTAACACAGATAAACACAGAATCTAGCCAAGTCTGGTTTGACATAGAATACATGAACTGATTGACTGACTTCCTACAGAGAACTCGTCACGATATGGCTGAAATACTGCCGATGTGACGTTAAATCTTAACTCACTCACTCACTCCTACAGAGAAAGAAAGGATTACAAATCCTAAAAATATCCTATCCAAATGGTGTTTAAAAGTATTAACTGCCAATTTCCTCTAATGATAAACTGTTAACTTTGTCATCTCCAAGCACCAATACTCAGAATGATCATTGGGCACTTGTAAAGATCACCAACACAAATGAGATCCTGTCCACGTGGTCACATCCAATGATTGTTAAGATCACAAATCCTTCTACAGTCAGGCAACATGGCAATCTGTATTCATAAGGAAGAGAATTTATGGATGTCGACTTTCATTCAGTGAAGGAGTAAGCACATATTCCGAAACGTTGTGTTCCTCATAATAAAGAAGTTGACATCCATAAATTCTCTTTCTGTCAGCATAAATCAGGAAATTTACTATCTTCCAACTCTGTGATTTTTCACCAAAATTATATTCTAATAAGAGCCCCTTATTTCTAATTTTAAGAGCGCCCTGGGCACTTATTACGTCAAATACGGTATATGTTATAAAATGCATTCTGAAAAGATATGTTTTAAACATATTTATTTCACAGAATGTGTGAAACTGGATTGGTTAACAAGTAAAGACTTGTGTCAATACTGCTCCAGCAGTCATACAAATGTCATCAATTATGATGTACAGACATAGGCTTAAAAGGCGGGGGTATATAGTTAAATCAAGGAATTCCGTCTGTCCCTCCGAGGACATTTTTTTTTTGTGACCTAAAACTCGAAAACTACTACATAGATTCTTTTCAAACTTGGGGAACACTTTTGATACCTATGGGAGAGGTGCAGTGCAAAGTTTGAATTTCAATGTTTGCATTTTCCGGAAAAATACTGCTTTTTTTGTTGATTTTGTTTTGCTGAGAATTCTTTTACTGAAACATTTGTGCAACCTATAACTTGAAAACTACTGCATGGATTCTTTTCAAATTTAGGGAATATTTTCAATACAAACAGAGGAGGTGCACAGCGAAGTGTGATTTTGATGTGTACTTTTTTAAATATAAGATGCTTTCATGTTTGCGAGCTTACAAAAATAAGTTATTTCAACATTTGTGCGACTTATAACCTCTTCATGGATTCTCCTCCAATGGTGGGTCCAGTTTCTATACCAATAGGAGAGGTGCAGTGCAAAGTTTGTTTTCAATTTTTAAATTTTCTGAAAAAATACATCTTGTTTCATTTAGATTCTTTTCAAGTTTTAAACTTAGAATATTTGTTCACTTCAACATTTGTTTGACCTATAACTTAAACACTACTTCATAGATTCTTTTCCAATTACAGCTTCTAAACCAATAAGAGAGGTGCAGTGAAAAGTTTGATTTCAATAAGCGGATTTTCTGAGAAATATTGCTTTTGTTTTCATGTTTTGAACTTCAAAATATGTTGGCGTCAAAGTCGCGGGCATTAGTGAGCCCTGCTCACTTTTGGTCTTGTTACCATTAACAATGGTGGGGAGCCTAATAAAGCTACATGTATAGACAAATGGCATGAAATCACTTGTAAATGAATTCATTTAAGAAGTATTGGCAGTGTGATATCGTGACTTCATGTTTGGAACCCCACCTAAGTTTGCATTTATTGTTCTCATTTGGGTTTGGATGACATTGAAGATCAAGGCCACTCAGTGTGATGTACATCCCAGAAAGTTTGTGTGGACAATATATTGGGCATTTATTATTCACATTTTATAAAGGTAGCTGGAGGCAAAGGAATTTCTATTTCAAAGACGTACCGCTACTCACAACCAAACCTAAAGGGATGTTATTCAAGGGGGACTACGTATATCTGTTGTTATTATTAAGGTAGTTGGAGGCATAGGAATTTCTATGACAAAGATGTACTGCACTGGGCATGTGTTTTCCCAAACCAGAAGTGAACAATAAGTGCCCATACTTTGGTTATTAAGTGAGTGAGTTAATATTTAACGTCACATCAGCAATATTTCAGCAATATCTTGACTTTGTTATTAAGTAATTTATAGGAATTGTACTTGCAAAGTTGTAATTGTTTCAAAGTTCTACTGCATTCTACATATGTGAGGTCAACTGTCACCTGTTTGGTAAAGTTAGAATGGTTCATGATATAGAATTCTGATGGGAAAGTTTGGGGGCATCAGGAAAAGTGTGTTTCTATTTTTGGATGTCATGCAAACACCTCTCTGGTTTGGGCAATCATTCAACCTTTGTACATGTTAAAGATGGATTTCAGATACAGTAAACTACGGTTATAACAAACTCAACGGGAGTTCACAATAACCATAGTTCATTATAAGCATATCTACAACATAATTACAACAAATGGCCGGGACTAAAAAATAAGTTTGTTATATCAGTCAGTTTGTTATAAGCGTGTTATAAAAAATTTTACTTATCTGAATATCTGTGAACAGATGTATGATGTATGTTATTTCTGTTATTGTCCTACATATATATATATATATATATACGGTAGTAAATGTAGGACAATAACAGAAATAACATACATCATACATCTGTTCACAGATATTCATATATATATATACACGATAGAAACTAGTCCACTAGTCCTTATAATGATAACATATAGCACAAAGGGCACATTTCTACTAGTCCTTATGATACCTTAGCTATTAAGCAGTACCTTGTCAATCATTGCTCATAATGTCAATCACTAGATTGTAGATTGTCTCGTCCAGATTTAATTATTTACAGACAGTTGTCGAATAGCTGGAACCCGTTCCTTAAAGCGATCTTAGCGCTACGATTGTCGTAAGCCTATGTTAAAGTATGGGAGTTACGATCATCTTAGCGCTACGATTGTCGTAAGCCTATGTTAAAGTATGGGAGTTACGATCATCTTAGCGCTACGATTGTCGTAAGCCTATGTTAAAGTATGGGAGTTACGATCATCTTAGCGCTACGATTGTCGTAAGCCTATGTTAAAGTATGGGAGTTACGATCATCTTAGCGCTAAGATCGCTCTGTGGAACAGGGCCCTGGAATATTGCTGAGTGCAGCATTACCAAAAAAAGCCTGATAGGTCTGCATTCAGTTTATCTTAACCGATGTGACACAAGCAATACTGGTCAATTGTCATGAATATTAGTTGGGGTTTAAATCTTTAAATGGGGTCATTTAGAATCTTACCTTATGTTTAGTTAGACGGACCATACATTTGCTTCATATTGAGTTTCCTGTGAGTGTTGAGTAAGAACACTACTTGGAACACAAATCTCAGGTTTGGTCTTCTATGAAGACCAGTGCTCAGTCCATTCATAACTACGACAAAAATGATGTTTGATGTGACCGTTATTTCCTGTTGCAGGGAGGACCATGCGAAGACTGGACCCTTTTAAAGTGGATTCTTATTATGAAACCAGAGCCACCAAATCTGCAAAGGAGTGTTTGATGAGTGGCAAAGTTTTACTTCAAGGCCCAGAAAAGAGTGGGAAGACATTTATTGGTCTGTACATTCTCAAAACCTTTGATCAATCCTACAAGCCACTCTATATAAAAAATCCAGCGGATTTGGAGTACATTCCAAATTTAAGTGAACTTAAAGACGTTAAAAAGGACAGTCAATATGACAATTACATCATTTTCATTGATGATCCCTTTAAAAGAGGTGTTGAAATTGATACCCAATTAACTGATCTGATGGAACTTGTAGAATGTGGTAGAGCACATGTTATAATAAGCATATCAACCCGGAACCAGGCAAAACTACAGGATTCTACTCTACGTATATGCCAGGGGAACAAATCCCAATTTGGAAGGAATCTACAAGACTTTCCTTTACAAGAACATGAACGATATGAAATTTTGAAGCATACACTGAGACCGCCCAAAGTGAAATCTTTAGGCCCAACAGAAGGTGCTCAAGAGGCTGTACTGCAGGAGATTGCAAAGTCTGCTGACTACCCCTGGTTTTTCATGGCCATTGAGTCAAGTCGCTCTAAACAGGGCAGAGAGCTTGTGGAAAGCTTGAAGAACCCAGTTGATACCCTGTTTCAGCAGCTCAAGCACATGGCCGAAAATGAAAAGGCAAAATTTGCTGCACTTGTGATCATCATGAAAGATGGCTTCTTTGAAGACAGTACCTGTAGGCCTGCAGGATCACCCAAATCTCCACAAGCAATGTTTGCAGCTTTAAATGAGATACTAGACACACAAGACCTATCAGCCAAGAAGATTTCAGATGCAGCCAAAAATATGATCGGAGAGTATTTGATTTACACAAACAAAACATATAAAGTCATTCATGGATCAGTCACTGATGCAGTTTGTAAAGTACTATTTTCCAAAAGTGCTCAACACATGCTGGAATGGTGCCCCCTGAATTATCTCATCCTCAATACAGTAACCCAAGATTGTGAAGAGGAAGATGCAGATAAATTGGTCATTGATGATTATGAAGAAATCTTGATCACCAGGCTTTTGGGAGAGGAGTGTCTTATGAATGCTATGGAATTTCCAGGATTTAAATCTCAAGGCTTTGTGGACAAAATCAAGAGTAGACTCAAGGATAAGCTTGAAGTAAGTGATTACAAGGATGTTCTTTTGCAAGCTATAACATTAGGACATAATCCATGGATGGAGGAGATTGTGCAGAATGTCCTGAGGACTCTGCCCGAGAGTGGTGAGTATGTCAAACATCTAGCTCTGCAAAAGGCTTGTGAGGTTGGCAACAGAGAAGCCTATGATGAGTTGGTCACTGTGGGTGCTGAAGTCAACCTACCATGCATGACTGCTTGCAAGATGGGTAAATGTCCACAAATTATCCATAATGTTTTGAAAGAGCTTGCTAACCAGTTTCAGCAACTCTCTCCTGACAAACTGAAGGAATGGATTTTGATAGTCATTCCACATGGAGATACGGATGCAATAAAAACCTTTATCACAAATCTCCAAGGTCGAACTGACAGATCTGACTTAATGGTCAGTGCCCTGGATGTAGCTTGCAAACTTGGATCTCTTGAAAAATACACTACAATCAGTTGTGACGGATTAAGGCCCAATTGGACAAGTCTGTTAATAAGTGCCAGTGAAGGTGGGAATGAGCATATCATAAGTCAACTCTTTTACCAGAGAGACCATGCGACAGCGGATGGCAAACCTTGCAATACACACCTGAAGGAGATGTTTCTGGCAGCTTGCAGATTTAACAGAAAGGGTGCAGCTGAGCTCCTTCAAAAGAGAAATGCCAGTGTGTTAGATGGAGTGACAGAATCAGGCCAGACAGCTCTTCATCTTGCTGCAAGTGTTTCTCACACTGACAAACCAGACACTCTCACCTGGCTTCTCAAGACAAAGAAATGGGACACCAACAGCACAGACAATGACGGCTTTACTGCTCTGCATTCTGCATGTTTCACAGGGAATGTTACATGTGTGAAAGAATTACTTGATGCAGAGTTTGATACGCAGGCACTGGATAAACATGGAGATACCACACTGCATGTTCATCTGAAGGGAAAATTCATCAACAAACCTGTTGTTGAGAAGCTTGTCAAGTCTAAAAGTGCAAGTAGCGGACACTCCCACATTGCCAGTGTTCAAAACAATGACGAGCAAAGTCCTGCCCATTTGCTATGCATGGAAGCACATGGTATCATTGCATCTATTCTTCAGTTCTTGATGCAGGATGAAGATGAATTCATTAAAATGCAGAAGAAAAAAAATGTTCATTCTATAGCAAGGAAAGATAGTAAAGGGCAAACTCCCCTTCATACTCTTGTTGCTTCAACAGGGACTGTGGACATCTTAAGACTTCTTCTTGAGAACAAAAATGTGAACATACAGACGGATGATGCTGAGGGAAATACTGTCCTTCATCTTGCATGCACAACAGGTAATGATGAAGTCATCAAGATGCTGATGTCAAGTGCAAGTAATACATTAACATACAAAGAGACAAATAATCAAGGACAGACACCATTACACTGTTATGCAGATGCAGAAAATGGCAAAGAGAAGAAAACAGCACAACTTTTGTGTAAAGATGTAGATGCAAAGGATTTGCAAGATCAAACAGCTTTGCATCTTGCTGTGAGAAAACCATACAAATCTGATGTTGTAAAACAACTGATGAATTTAGGTGCAAATGTAGACTCAACAGACAAGAAGGGGCGAACTCCTCTGCATATTGTCTCCAGTATGTCACATGACACAAGCTTGGAAGTTGCTCAGATGCTTGTCCAGGGCTCAAACAAGAAAAAACAGAGAGCAGACGTCAACATTGCAGACAATGAAAAGATGACAGCATTCCATCATGCTTTTGTATCCAAAGGAATTTGCAGTTCACAAGTTGCTAAGTTTCTTCTGACTCGCAGTGTAGATATTTGGGGTGAGAATGTTAACACGCACTTACCAATCCACATCTCCTGCATTGAATGTTCCATCTATAGTCCGTTAGTGCTGAGAGTTCTTCTTGAGCATCTTCAAGCACATAATGATCCAAGTAAGATCCAGCAAATGCTGTCCGTTGTTGACAAGTATGGTGATACACCACTACATAAAGTGTGCATGTCTTCAGGGGAGGGGAGGAGAGACGTCGCTGAAGTCCTCATTGGTGCTGGAGCTGATCTCACTCTGGCTAATGATGCTGGTGATACTGTGATGGACATAACCAGAAGGAACAGAGTAAATGATTTGAACGAATTGATGATCATGACAGCATTCATCAGGGCATGTAAGGAAGACATCAATTCAGATTTGGAGAAGTTACTATCATGTGATCAAATGAATAGTGACAGTCTGTCCATGATGTTTCAAAAACTTGTCCAACTTGATGAACGTCACACCGTTAGTGTCCTGGAGAGACTGATTCTGAAAGGTGCGGACATACAACGTACCACTGAAGATGGTCTGAGTGTGATACATCTGGCTGCCAAGACACAAGGGGAATTCACAGATCGCATTATTGGATTCCTCATGGTAAAGGGAGCGGATATGTTAGCCGTGGACAAAGGAGGTGAAACTGCATTACATAAAGTGGCTGTAGGAACGACATCCCATTGTGCACATCTTATAAGATTTCTTCATTCAAGAGGCATGGCAATTGATGGAAGAGATCACATGGGGAATACTGCACTCCACAAGCTGTTTTCAGCTGAGCGTCCACTTGGTGACCACTTCAGGACTTGTATGGAAGCACTTGTCCGACTGAAATGTCCAGTTGATTGTCAGAACAAACAAGGAATTACCCCATGTGCATTAGCAAAGAAACATGGTGAGGCAGTGGTTAAGGAGCTCCTGCACACATATTGCACAAAACTAGATGTTCTTGACTCAAATGCCTTGAAAGACATTATAGCCAATGGAGCAGACATCAACAGCAGGGACAACAATGGCAACACCGTGCTGCACAAGATCTGCACAAGGAGGGTGTCCTTTGTATGTAACAATGTGAAGGTCTTGCTGAAGCTGGGAGCAGACAGGTTCTTGAAGAACACAGAAGAAAAGCTGGCATTTGACTTAGCGTGTGAGACAGGATTAGATGAGGATGTGAGAGAGGCAACAGTGACCGAGATGCCATCACCACAAGATCTGGAGACTGATGGAGCTTCAGCAGGTTCAACTCCAACCACTCCTTTGCCACGTCCTCCTTGGGTAAGGTCACCATCTACAGAGGAATGGGTGTTTGCTCTGAGGAATGGGATGACTGGCATTAGGAATGCAGCCGGTATGGACCACATGGATGATGAAATGGAAAACTTTGAAAGAAATGCAAGAAGGAAAATGAGCGATCACTTCAACCGTTACATGTGACTTTGATGGAGATGATTTCAAAGAAATTGATTTTGTGTGTATGTGAAACCTCAATATATAATTTAAACAATGTGAAGATACACATTGAGATCCTACTTGAGACACTACATAATCACAGGCCTTTTGTATTGTCTAGAATCCCTTCCAACTTGACCCTTGAAATCCCCATTTGATACACCCCTTGAAAACAGACCAGCCCCACAACAGCATGTGTGGGGGGACATTCTGACATAAAGTAGTTCCAAGACAAGTACCACTTTGGTGAAACCCACAAGTCATGAGTATGGTGCTGACAACCCTGGAAACAATCAGGGCAAATCTACGATTTGAAACCGCTATCAAAGGCTTCTGGCATGTCTACCGGAAGCAACTCTGCACAGTGAATTGTGACACATGTGAAACCTGGGTCACCCATGAACACTGGGTTGACCATGTCCAAAACTTTTATAAGATTATATCTTCAAGTGGCATAACTCAAGTGAGTATGGTTTTACGCCGCTTTTAGCAATATTCCAGCAATATCATGGCGGGGGACACCAGAAATGGGCTTCACACATTGTACCCATGTCGGGAATCGAACCCGCGTCTTCGGCGTGACAAGCGAACGCTTTAACCACTAGGCTACCCGTCCGCCCCCTGTCTTCTTAGAGAAGATTCTGAAAGTTAGATGAAATGTAGAACAAACATTTTCTTGAATGTTTTTGTTATAGAAGTGTAGCAGCTGTAATAATAGTGTAGCGATATGAGCATGCATTTGGTGAATGGAATCTGGCGCATTGTAAATGCACTTATTATTATTACTATTAGTAGTAGTAGTTAAGGGTGTTACATCTTTATTTTTTTTACATATTTACTCAATTACTGTTGCAATGAATGATTAAGTTGTATTTAAATGCTAGTAGCTTTCAAATAATTGTTTCTTCATGAGTTGAATTTTCAATAATTTGAAATATGTTTATCCTCCAATAAACAAGTCAATTAATTGTTTAACTATATTTCATATTGGGACTTATCATGAGAGCTGTATATACTTCTCAAAACAAGTTAAAGTGCACCCTAATCTTTCATATTACTATACTAATATGAAAGAACTGGGTATTCTTTAACATCTTGTGAGTAGTATACATGGTCTAATACCATGAAAATACATTTCAATAATCACACAAAATCTCGACTAAAAGCAGAGTTCATTGTATGAATCTGTGTTTGTAATTCACTGTCAAATGGCGATGATACCCCCTGGTAGTACCCATCACAAACACATGCAAAGGCAAGTCATATAGACGTTTATATGTATAGTAGTATAATAGTACATAGTTATTCTGTTTTTGCATCTTATTGTTTGCATTTGTTCAATGTTTTTGTTAAAAATGCACCTCAAATTAAATCAAACCTGACATTTTCTTGCCTTTTGGCAGATATAGACCAAGAGAATGTGTAAAACAAACAATTAATTTCAACTGGTGTAATGATAAACAAGGAAATGTGTGGTATGATCATATTTGTTAAATGTTGCACGCTGCAATATTTGAGCTGTATGATGGCAATCTGTATATAATCAAGCCTGGACCAGGCAATCCAGTGATTGGCATCATGAGCATCAATCTACGCAGTTGGGATACGATGATGTGCATCAATCAAGTCAGCGAGCCTGACCACCAGACAATGTTAGTCGCCTCTTACCACCCGACAATGTTGGTCGCCTCTTACCACCCAACAATGTTAGTTACCTCTTACCACCCAACAATGTTAGTCACCTCTTACCACCCAACAATGTTAGTCACCTCTTACCACCCAACAATGTTAGTCACCTCTTACCACCCAACAATGTTAGTCGCCTCTAACCACCCGACAATGTTAGTCACCTCTTACCACCCAACAATGTTGGTCACCTCTTACCACCCAACAATGTTAGTCGCCTCTTACCACCCAACAATGTTAGTCGCCTCTTACCACCCAACAATGTTAGTCGCCTCTTACCACCCAACAATGTTGGTCACCTCTTACCACAAGCATGGGGTGCTAAAGACCAATTCTAACACTGATCAAGTAAAAATATGGTTTTCTTAGTATCTTTCATTGAACTACCCGTCCATGGCTTGATCTTCATTGTAATTATTCCATGGAAGAGGTTCTGGGAATTTCAGGGTACAATTGTTCCCTGGCAACCAATGCTTGTCATAAGAAGAAACGTAGTGGATCTGGCGGTCTGGCCAGGCAACTTGGATGATTGCATCATTCAATGGATGTCGCTCACAATATCAGTCTATGATTTGTCTGGACCAGACCTCTGGGCATATAGAGGGATATAGTGGATTTGTGAAGAATGGTTTCTGCTACATCACATTTCTTGACACATTTCCAGCCTACTTCCTATGATTGATTATTCAATCTCAGAACTTGTGATTGTTATGAATTTAATATTGACATTTGCCATTCGAGTGACACATCACCATGTCAGTCTGATGCTTCATTTGAAGAACATTAATTCAGCATATCATTGATGTCACACATTTTGTATTCCTCATCACGTTGTATTCAGATTTGTTGATGATATATGATATATCCACATGTATCAGTTATTCTGCTGAAAACACAAACAGCATTAGACCCATGAATATCCAGGTTAGAATAGGTCTTCAGCAACCTATGCTTGCCGTAAGAGGCAACTGTGCTTGTCGTAAGAGGCAACAACAGGATCGGGTGGTCAGGCTCGTTGACTTGATTGATGCATGTCATTGTATCCCAGTTGCGTGGATTGATGCTGATGATGTCAGTCATGTACATGTTCATATATTTAACTTATTTCAAATGCTGACCATGCCTTTAAATGGTAAAACCATATAGAACAGTTCACATAGTAGATTTCCCCTTACATATACCTCTCAAATTAATTCCTCTGATATTTTATGTGTTGTGAAATTATTTTTTGTTTATTAGATGTGATGGGTTTTTCAATTCATATATATACTGATGGCTAATTGTTATAACAATTTCAATGTTTTAAGAACTGTTTAGTTTTGGATCATTTTACGAAGAACATTTGTACATTTTTTAGATGAAGGAACTATTGTTGTAAGTTTACATGGGTTTTTTCTTTGTGCATACACTTAGGATTTGATTCATATTAAATGTTTTAATAGTGCTCACTTGATAATTTATTGTTTTGTGTGTGCAATCTTTTCCTTTTATAATGTCATTGTTTTTATACATTTTCCATTTCTGTTATTAACAACTTATAACTTACTATGTATGTATCATATTTGCAGGACTTAAATAGATACTGTATTTGACGTAATAAGCGCCCCTCTCTAATAAGCGCCCACGGCGATATTTGCTAATGTATTGGCAAGTGAACAATCCCAATTTGCACCCCTTCCGTTTGCTCAGTGTACACAAGACTTATTTATTCACGTATAATACGCACTCGTGTGTTATATACACCCTTAATTACGGGCAGTTAAATTCTGGAAAATATATCTGTCGCATATAAACAATTCAGACTGTCAGCGTAAAGCATGAAATTTCCGATCTTTCAACTCTCTTTTTTTTTGTTCACCAAAATACTACTCTAATAAAAGGCCCCTATTTCTAATTTTGAGAGACCCCTGGGCGCTTATTACATCGTATACGGTATAATAAATACACATATATGTAAGAATTTACTTTAATTTGACCCTCATAAGAACTGACTTTTACTCATTGGAGCATGAACCATCATGAAGGGAAAGTCCATTCTTATAATTTTTTATATTACTATTTATACTCAAGGTATGTATTACACCATTTCAATTTGTGTGTGTGGAATAAAATAGTTCATTAAACGGACAGGTTACATGAGCGTGGGTGTGCTCAAATTGCTGAACAGAAACATCTGTTGTAGTTTAGTTACAACAAATAGATTCAAATAACATCATTATCGGTCATGGTGACAGCAGGTCATTAAACATTTACATCAAGTACAAGACGTCAAAATGGCCCACACGAAAAACATGATGGGAGAGATTTCGGAAGTTGTTCATGAACCTGTGGCGATTACAAGCGTTTGTCATCATTGGTCAATTGGCCAATCATTGATTATTATCCCCCGCCGCGCGAAAGCGCGAAGCGGGGGATATAGTATTCACGACCGTCCGTACGTCCGTCCGTACGTCCCACCTGTTTGTTGCCCGATATCTCAAGAACTAAACACTGGATTGTCTTCATATTTGGAACTATGGTGTATATACAGACTCCGCAGACACCAGTCGGTTTTGGTGACCTTGACCCCATTTTCAAGGTCACAGCAGGCAAATCTGCTTTTGGAGTTAGAAAACGGTGTTGCCGCGATATCTCAAGAACTAATCGCTGGATTGTCTTCATATTTGGAACTATAGTGTATATACAGACACCGCATACACCTGTCAGATTTGGTGACCTTGACCCCATTTTCAAGGTCACAGCAGGCAAATCTGTTTTTGGAGTTTGAAAACGGTGTTGCCACAATATCTCAAGAACTAATCGCTGGATTGTCTTCATATTTGGTACTATGGTGTACAGGCGGGGGATATTTCGTCACTCTGTGACAAATACTTGTTATGAAGATGTTTCAGATAGATATTGAGGAAATTTGTAGTTGGGTGTTGACTATCACTGTCATATCAGACACAGATGGAATCTAAAGTTTGGACGTGCATTTCTTTGTTTTATTCACTTGGATGAGTGGTAGTGAGAATATTATATACTTATCCTCAAATTCAGCTGTTTATTAACATCATTGTTTGTATATTTATGTACATATATCTAGATGGTATTTAAGCATGCATCTGTTACATCCCAGACAGTGGTTGGTTGGTTGGTTTGTTGTTTAACGCCTCACTCAGCAATATTCCCAGACAGTGGTTGATTGGTTGGTTTGTTGTTTAACGCCTCACTCAGCAATATTCCCAGACAGTGGTTGCTTGGTTTGGTTTGTTGTTTTACGCCACTCAGCAATATTTCAGCTATATGACGGCGGTTTGTAAATAATCGAGTCTGGACCAGTCAATCAAGTGATTAATATCATAAGCATCGATCCACGCAATTGGGATCGATGACGTGCATCAACCAAGTCGGCGAGCCTGACCACCCGATCCCCTTAGTCGCCCTTTACGACAAGCATGGTCGCCTTTTATGACAAGCATGGTCGCCTTTAACGGCAAGCAACCCCTACCACCACCAAATGAAAGTTACAAACCTGAGTGTAAAACACCCACCAATCCCAAACTCTCCATCACACCCAGTGAAATGTGACCCTCGCCTGTGTATCCATGTTGTTTCAGGAATATTTATAGTACATTCCTGTTCAACTGAGACATATTTAGCTTTCCATGTGAGTTTAAACCATGGCCTTTTGTCAGTCATCATCCATTTTAAGAAATATAGAAACGGGCTCCGTCCGTCCGTCCGTACATCCGTCCATAACGTTTCGTTTCCGGAGCATAACTCAGAAACCGTTCAATATTTTTTCATGAAACTTTGCAGGTCTGTCAAGTACATGCTGAACTGGTGCCTTTTGCTATTTAGAAATTGGGTAGGGTTCGTTTCCCAGGCATAACTCATAAACCATTTAATATTTTTTCAGCAAACTTTGCAGGTTTGTCAGGTACAAGCTGAACTGGTGCCTTTTGCTATTTAGAAATTTTAGAAATTTATATTTTTTACGTTTCCATGGCAAATATATGGACTTAGGTTCCAAACTCTTCTTTTTTTTACAATTTCCATGACAAGTTCCACCTCTGTTAAAACAGGTTAGGGTTTGTTTAGATTTAATTATGTCATAAATTCTGCAACAGGGGTGGGGGATATAGCCACGTTAGTGGCAATCTCTTGTTCAATTTAGTGTTGTGTCAGTGGGACAGGACGTGGAGTCATCCCACAGATGACATCCTTACCTTGTCTGTTTGCTGACGGGGTTAACCTCTTTGGTCATGTGGACAAGGTGTCCGACCTTAGATCAGAAGGTCCGTAGTTCAAAACCCTTCAAACTCGGAAATTTTATGGCTGCTACATTGGCCTCCAACGTCGTGCTGAGCACGATCATATTAGATAGCCTACTATGCGGCCCGGGACGTGCCTTCTGTTGACTGGAAGTATGTAGCTGGGCGTGGAGTCATCCCACAAATGACATCCTTATCTTGTCAGCTTGCTGACAGGGTGAACACCTCTTTGACCATGTGTACAAGGCGTCCGACCTCGGGTCACAAGGTCCGTGGCTCGAATCTCATCACGGACTCGGAAATGTTATGGCCGCTTCATCAGCATTCCCTCTCTCAGTCTGGTTTTGGCAGAATGTACCGGTAATCAGATATCTGTGAAGTACATGTATTTACAAGGCCCAACAACATAGTCTCGTTTTTCTCACAGGTTGGTGTGTTGGACCTCATTTTTACAATGCCACTTTGACAATTCATATGGTCTCACAGAAAATTAAAACTGAATTTCAGATCTCTCAACCTGACCATAAAGTTA